TACTCGATGAAACGGCTAAAAGAGAATCATGCTAAGTTGAATCAATCACATCGAAAAACCAATACCACTACCTACTGGCGCGAGTCAATTATTTTTTTCCAAAAACTCACAATATTGATTTAGTTTTAATGGGAAAACTATAACTAAAACTAAATATAAAAGTATAAAACTCCAGAAGTGTCTAGACTTAAGAGAAATTCAAAATTAAGTTTTGAAATTTACAAAAGTTTAAAAAAAAATAGATACTTTAATTGCGCCTATAATTCTCTCAGGGCTCGGCATTAATTACTTATTAAACTATTAATTCCATAAATATTGTGCAGTTACTGATGTATTTGTTGAAAAACTGTGTGATTATAAGCTACTACAATATTACGCGACCAGTAACCACGATTGGCTATAGTAATGGTAAATATTAATTGCTATTTTGAATTTTCTAAAAACTCAATCGAGGAACTAAGGCCCCTCAACAAGTTTTCCATCACCTATCGTGCTTTTCCAACATCCACATAATTGTAAATCGTACACTATCGCGCTATCTAGCCAAGGAAATTTAGCAAATGTGATGATCAGTTCTTCACACTCACGCGTAAGAGTTCAAAATTATTTTATAGATAGCGCTGCTGTAATCGAAACAATTTAAATCTAAGTAATAATACCGGCCAATTCCGTTATCGCGGCGTCGGGTGAGACTAAACCTCATCAAACCTCACTAAACCTTACCAAACCCAACTAAACAGTCTGTGGTTCGGGGAGTTGGTTCTCGGCTTGTGACTTAATATTATGTTATCCGAAAAATATTTCAACAGAAAAGTTAAAACATGTCCCACACGACTCGTGTAATCGGCGAATATTCGTCAATCGTACTACTTTGCGAGTTGTGTGTGAGGTATTTAGTCGTAAAGCACGGCGATTATTTTTACTCGCCGAGTCACTCACGGTTTCCCGTCGGTGTCGGATACAACACGAGTGACTCGTACTGATAAAAAATTTAATCTTGGATTTCCCCCAAAAATAGACCATTATTTATTGTTAATATCATTAGGTGTATAATAATAATATCACCAAGGGCGCACCCAAGGGGGTGGCTAACGGGCTTTAGCCCCCCCCCCCAAATGGCTAGCCCCAAAACATATTTTATTAGGTTTATTGACAATTGACATTTGACTTTAAATTATTACGAAAAAAAAATATCAACTATCGAAATTTAAACATTAGGTATAACATAATATTATATTTATACCTGTCATTCCGGGCCCCGAGAGAGACCTCTGTTGTTTATTATTATCGTCGCGACGTCGTTAGTTGAAACTTTGTACTGTGTAGGATACAGGAAACGTCTTGATTATACATTTTTATCGATACAAAATACAATGAAGTTTATCTCAAGCCGCAGGTATCTTTGCGACAAATTCCACTTTCATTTTATAACTTATTTAGTAGATTAACAAGTATTGTCGTCCAACTGTTCAAGTCGACATCGTTGGTTTTTCGCGAGCTTATTTATTTATTCGTTTTTAATTGTTAATTAACAAGCTTTAAGATTTCTGTACATATTTCAAAATAAATACTAATTATTAATATTAAATTTTTTTGAATTTAGCCCTCCCCAAAAAAAAATTCTGGGTGCGCCCCTGAATATCACTATAGTAGTAATCACAGGTGGCACGTCATTCCACACGAACCGTGCACTTGGCAATCGGCGTCAATATTTAAATAGGTATTTAATTAATCTTTAATTAAATTAAATTTTTTTTAACTATTTAAATTTAAATACCTTCTTGTGGATTATATTTACTAAAATTTCATCGAAATGGAGTGGTCTAATGAAAAGACATTAGAATTTTTGTCGTTATTTGAAAAGGAGTCATTAATTTGGAATCCAAAGGACCCAATGCATAAAAATAGAAATCTTGTCAGTGATGCCTGGAAAAGGATTAAAGACAACTTCAGCGAAGACATTGCAATAGAGGAATTAAAAAAGAAGGATTCGCTTATGGCGAATAGGAATAACGGCCATTGGCTCAAAAAGTGAAAAGCAGCACTAAAACTGGGTCCGGAAGAGACGAAATATAAAAACCAACCGAATTGGATCTTTTATGAAGTAATGGCAACTTTTTACATGGAGTTCATCAATCAAAAACAGCTTCGACGCCGGCAGCGCGGCGAGACGAACCGGTTTTCAGCTTGCGCGGCGCGACATCTGTTCCGTGTTCGAATATACACTTATATATAAAATTATACTAATACAATTAATCAAATATCTGATATAATTCATATTAAACTTTTTACATTTTACTAAACATAATATATAAATGTACTGAAATCTAGCAATAGCAAAGCATTGACGGGTGGCTAGTATTATTTATGATTTAAATACCTATTTGAACTACAAAAAATAATAACCATCGTCGTTATTCTTTGTTAAATATCTAATTTCGCCCAAATTTGAATTTAAAATGTCTATATAATTTGGAAAAATTGATTAAAAATATTTTTTATTTTGTTTTTGGGTACAGGCGTTACAGCATATTACTTATATCTACTTACGAAGAATCTTTTTTTAAATATATAGTTTCTTAGATTTAAAAATTGAACATTTTATACAACTTTTACTACAAAATTATTCGCATTGTTCGTGATTTTTAAGAATTTCGTCAAAATTTGAACTTAAAGTGCTTGTGTAAAAGAAGAGTTGGGTGTCATTGTTTCTTCAATTTTTGTGAATTGCTAGGACAGCAGCTTATGAGGAACCTTTGACCTTATATTACATGTTTCTAATAAAATCAAAAAATAAATTTAAACCACACTCACACAGTCATATACGTATTTTGTTCAATACGAATGTAAAATCTTTAGGATACATCATATTTGGGATTTGGATCATTTACAACTATAAATTTAATTAAACATAAAAGAAATTAGTAAAAAAGTTGAGTGTGAATCCACAATATTTTTTTACGAGTGTGTGAATTTAGGATTTTGACAAAATTAGTAAAAATCAAGACAATTTGAAAATTATTTTGAATTAGAACTTCATAAAATGTTTTATTTTTTTATCTAAGATTTAAAAATGTAATACAAGATTCCTTATAAATTGGTTTACCTTTACCTAAAAAAATTTCCACCAGAAAGTGAAATTAAATTTGACATTTTGACATTTTTACATTAGATATTCACTCGATTTCTCATACCTATTTAGCTTTTTTCCTATACAAGTAGGTATACCTAGTTGTTCCAATCGACTACCGCTTTTGTCCAATACCTACCCAATTCACATTAGTAATATGTCACTTAAGTTCATGAGCCTACAAGTAGGTACATAAAATATAGATACAATATTATTTATCGGTTATCTAATACCGTCTATCCAATTAAGTTTATTGTCCCTGGGCCAATCTGCCCAGGATCATGAACCTATTCATACCGTAGTATAGCACTACCTACTTACTGCAATATTGACTTATAAGTTAATAAAAATACTATACATTTTTTTTTATTAATTCAGACACTGAGGGTGTCTAAATGACCTCGAATAATATCAATTATTAATTGGAATGAACATTATTTTTTCTGTTTACATGGATTCGCTAATTTCTAAGCACTTCATAGTCTCATATATGTTCACCAGATTCTATAATTATTAACTAATGTTTAATTATGTACTCATACAAAAATGTATGTGACGTTTTTATATTTATAGTAAATAAGTAACTGATCCCTGCACTTCGTTGCCCGTTAAAAATGCCATATCTTCTGTCTTCATAAGTGATTTAAGAGACTTGATGGTGATAATGCGAGCAGTATATTATATCAGGTAGGCAATCCACCTGTGGTGGATTGCAAACCCAGTTAGGTGCATACTGAATACCATGGCTAAATAACTAGTTATTTAGCCATGCTGAATACTATATTAGTATCTGTCAATTTATATGATTATATGAATAATAAGTTTTATTTTTATTTTTATTTTGATTGTGGACACTGATGAGCGGCTATAAGTACAACTCAGTCTCCTTGGAAGGCAATGTATGAAGATTCGATTTGTTGGATGCTTAAACCTGTTCTGCTCGATTAAACATTGGCAACCAAAAAACAAAAAAAATACTAATTTCCACTAAAAAATTAAGAAAATGAATTAATAATTAAAATAAACGTGTACATTACATACGTTTATAAGCATATCTTATGGCACGGCGGATTTCCAGTAACCTGACCTTTTCTGACTTGTAGCATTGCGACTTGCGAGTTCCGCGACTTAAGTTTGTATGTCTAGTTGCTGGCATTTTTAGAAACAAAAATATTCGATCAAAACTTACCAAAACTCCTAATATTATTGCAATGCTCTGTTTTTTAAATGTAAAATGTATGTATTTTATCGTTTAAAAGTTATATTGATAATAATACCTATTCGGTACCTAACCATAGTGTTGTTGTACGATCGGTGCGTATTATTATTATTATACAATTTACACGTTAAATATTAAAAAATATTTTGTGTGAGCCACTCTTTACACCTAGGGGTATGAAAAATAGTTTACATCACTCTCCGAGACCTACCTTAATGTACGTACACACAAAATTTCACGAAAATCGGTCCAGCCGTTTCGAATGAATTTGGTAACAAACATTTTCCAGCTTGACATGAGATTTTTATATATTAGATTAATTAAAAAGTTGTTGCAATTTGGATATTATTAAAAGGATACCCATGAGTAGAGGTTGCGACATATTGGTTAATATAGCAGTATAGGCTTTAGCACTATGTTCAATAGAAAGTAGAAACAGATGCAGTAAAAATTTGTTTTTCTAATAGAGGATATATTACATAAACATAAGGTCGAATTGTCCTCAAATTGCTCGAGTTAAAAAATACAAATTGTATTTTAATCCCACGAATGAACCATTTAAAAAATAATAAACCTTTAATAATATAATGTTGTTTATAAATAAAATAATTGCAATAAAAAATTTAAAAAAAAATTTTAAATTTATATACAAATAATATATAAAACAATATACATACAAGTGGTTAATATACATAATATAAAATTAATGAAGGTAAGGAATACTTTTCTTAGATAAATTTCAAATAAAAATTTGTTTTGGTATTTGTGATAGTATCGCGAACCAATTTTTTCATCAAATTTTCAACAATATCATTTTGTATTTCTAATTCATCCATTTGAAAATCAGTCCATTTACTATCTTCTTCATGCATTTGTTTCACAACAAATTTATTTACTTTCTCTTCACACTCGTCTATGTCAATAATCTGATTCATTTTTTTTATTACTACATCGCTTAAATCTTTAGGGTTTTTTGGCCTGGCCTTAAATTGTTTCAAGCTTTTTATAGATCTCTTCCATAAGGGTAAATATGTTTTGTCAATAAATAAGTCTTGTGCAATTTCTTTACAGTAATCAAAAATCAATGTTTTATAATCAGCATGTACAATTGAATCTGAATCTATAATATAGTTGTTCAATAATGCACTTTGAGAACCATTGAATACTTGATTAGCAGCTGTCAAAACCATTTTGTGCACTTCATCAGATGTATAAGGTACGTCAATAAGGGCTTTGTTTTTAGTAGGACTTTTATAAGGGGGCGGGGGCTTATTAGGTATTTCTCTTAAAAAAAATTGTACTTCTTCCGACATGCGAAGACGTTCAATCTGAAAAAATACAAGCCCAATATATTATTAAATATAATTTACTCTGAAAAAATCACCCCACATACTTCTTCTTCAATGCGAATTTGTTCTAGTTTTAATTTTTCTGCTTCTTGTTGCGTATGGTTGAGCATAACATTGTTACTTTTATCTTGCAAAGTCGGGGATTTTTTCTAAAACAGATTTGATTAGAAATTATTCTTATGAATAAATCCATTTAGTTAGATTATATAATCAATTCGTAAGAACAAGTAACATGTTTGTATTATTACCTGATCTAGATACTTCTGATAAAACATTTCAAATGAATTTTCATTGTCAACATCAATTTTATGCTCTAGAGTAAAACCAATAAATGTTTGTACAATGCATACATAATATGTTACATTATTAATTTATAAAGCTGAAGCGATTTGCGATTAATAATGTTTAAATTACATAAAAATAAAATTGATATTGCATAACATATAAATAGAGTATACAAAAAATATCTGAAAAAAATTTTAAAAACAAAACCAGAAATTGCATTCAAGTCTTATATTTAAACGATAAAATAATAAAATATTTCACTCATAAACACAATTTAAGACTTTAATTTTGGTTGAGGATTTTATTTTAAATAAGAAATATAAAAACAAATACAATAAACATGAACAAATATTAATTGATTCACTCGATAAATAATATAAATAATTGTAAGTAATGGATGTTTTTATGCATACTTGAAACAAATGTAGAAATTTATTATTATGAAGTTGAAGTACATATTTGTGCAAAAAAGCAAATTAACAGCATGCAGTAGAATAAGCATTAATAAAATAAATATACAAGCAAATATTTTAGAGCAGTCAAATTAATAACTTTATATTTAACCGAAAAAATCACTTACGAAAAATTAAACATTCTGATAACTTCAATTTTTTTCTTTTAGTAGAAGACCACTTTAAATATACTGTTAATTTTTCCATTTCCATTTCATTCAATCTAGGTAAATACATTTGAAGAGTTTCAGAAATAAGAGGTTGTAAATGATGCTTAAAAAGTGCATCTGAAATAATTGAAGCTTGCTCCGAGAGAATAATCCGATTTTGATTCTCTTCTTCCCGTTTTAAGATTAACAACAATGGAGTTTCTTCAGTTAAATTATCAAGATAATTTTTCTCTGAAGAAAATAATGATTTACGCATGTTAGATTTTAATGATTTTTTTGCATCTTTCAGAAGACAGTTAAAAATGTTGGTAGTAATAACATGAACTTGGTCATTAGAAGAATTCTCATTTTGAACCTAAAATATAATACATTAGAGGTTTGGTTAGGGTTTTTGAAATAAAAATAACTTATTACAATGGTATAATTTTACTTACAAAATCACCATGATCATCTGAATACGGTTCAATAAATGTTTTATCCTCAAATATTATTTCTCCTTCACTTCTGTCTTCTTCATAAGAAGTTTCATTACTTTGTTCACTGTCATTTGATTCTATTATATTATCATTTTTATTAGATTGAAATGACCGTTGAAATTCTGATGTATACTCATCTGATGTAAAATCTGGACTATAAATATCATCTGATCCCATTTTATAATTATGTTCCTCAAATTGACTGACAATGTTTTTTTGCATTTCACATACATCAGTATCATTTACATTTATAATGAGATTGTTATGAATAGCACTACTATTAGATGAACTTGTATTGGAGCGGTTAATATTGTCATGAATAATCAGTGACTTTTTATTATCTGTTTCTATATGTAATTCTTGGTTATTGGAAGTTTCTGATACAATATTATTTGGAATAGAAAACTTGCATAAAGAAATATCTAAATTTATATCATTGTCAATTGTTTCATTTACTTCACATGAATTAGTTTCTTCCCTTAAATTTACTTTTAGATCATTTAATTTATGAATGTCTAAAGTCTTCTGTGGTAGAAATTTAAAAGGAATATTTACTTCAGTTTCAATTTCATGAGGTTTGTTTGAATCATTTACTTCTTTTGCAATGTGCTTTTCATGTAATTGTACATCTTCACAAACTGGAATTGTTTCTAAAGATTGAAGTGATTGTTCTATACAATTATAATTATCAATATTTGAATCAAAATTAATTGTATGCATATCGCAATTTTCCTTGGATTTATAAACATTTTTTTTTTGAAAGTCATTTATTGGTTTATCTACAGATAATACACTATGATCACATTCCTTATCGGTAGCGACTGGATAGAAATATTTATTTCCATCTGTCCGTATTATTCTATCTGATTCGTCTATATGCTGACTATGATCATTCTTATAGTTAATAATATTTTGAAGAACAGAAGAACTAGAATTTGTCGAAGAAGAAGAATCGTTTTTTGTTGAAGATTTTGAAACATACATATTTTTTTTCTTTATTTCAACCATCAAACTTTTTCTCGATTCTTCAATTTTCTTGTCATATAAATTTATCTGTTTCAAAAGATCTTGCTCTTTAGCCTTAAGATTTTCTAATTTAAGTTTTTTTTGTTCTTTTTTCAATCTAAAAGTTTCTAATTTTCTATCTTCAAGTTGTTCTTGTAAAGACATTATCCGTGTATCCAGGTCACTCTGTTCTGAATTTGTACCTTGAAAATAAATGAATATACATAATTAAGTAGAACTTTGTTTTGAAATTTCAATCATTTTATTTACTAAACGATGTCTCCGTAAGATATTTTCTCAGTTTAACAGGACTTGTAGGTAAAATTGGTGACAATGATCTTTTATCCTTGGTTTTAATTGCATCAAACATTTCATCATTTTTATAAGAAAAATCAATTGGATTAAATGATTTTATATTTTCATTAGTTGTGTGTTTACATCTAAATATTTTATGATTGGTTAGTAACCATATTAATTAAACAGTTATTAAAGAAAATTCTATACTTACTTTGTTTTAGAAGTTTGTATAGATTTATTAATGACAGACTGTGAAGAACATTTAACATCTGTTTGAACTTCGACATTTTGAACTTGATTGAAAATATTTGTTTCAATACTAATAGGAGAAGTTGCTTGGTCTAATAAACAAAATAACTAATGTTACTAAAAATTAAGCATACAACTTTAAAACTAATACACTAATTAAATGTAAAATGATAAACAGTGACTTTTTTAAAAATACAACTGATCTCAATAATAATATTTATCTTTTTACCTGAAGTAAAACATTATAATTGATATATGAACTTACTTCGCAAAATGATTTTAGATTTTTCCGATTCAAACACCATTGGCGATGTATTATTTTTTGATTCAATCGGATTAATCTTATCATGTTCACTATCATTACTATCGAAATAGTCAGGCTTAATAATTTTTTTAAAAATATGAGAATTAAGTGACTGACAAGCATGTTCTTCTATCTAAAATCAAATGTTATTTATTAGTCTCAAGTATATCTAAGATTTAATAAACAAATATTACCTTTGGAAATTGCTCTAGGCTTTTTAGTTTTCGTATAACTTTTTTAGAAGATGATTGGTTTCTTAAATGTTGTAAATGTTCATTAAACATTATAAAGCGTTGCTTATACACTGAATCTATTACTCTACCAAGTCGTTTTATTTGAGACAAGGAATTTTCCAACTTTTTCACACTACCTCTTTGTTTTTGTTTGAACAACTGAAATTGTTTTTCATGACCAAGTTTGTTTTTTAAATTCCTATAAAACGTACAAGATATTGTTTGTTAAAATTAAATGTTATAGCAGAACTTTAAAATATTTTAAAAAGTTCTTACTTCACTTGAAGGTCATACATAGTAATTTCCCACTTCAAACGATTAGTTAAAGATTTTTCCCTTAAACTAAGTATGGTACGGTGTTGTTTTGCCCGGAGTTCTTCATCTTTAATTAATTGTTCAAACTAAAAAAATATTCATCGATATTTAGTAATTAATAATATAAATAAAATATTCAGTGGCAAGCCCAAAAGGCTCAATTTTGCGCCAAAGTCCATTATACGATTTGGCGACATTTTATTTACATCATACATAACTTTGTAATCAGTAAATATTATATATTAAAGTAAATAGTGGTGTGGTGGTGGTCAATACTTAAATATGAAATTGTGTCATTTAAAATGTATGTTATGTCTGCTACTGAGTATATTAGTACATAAGAAAATCTGTTTAACTGGTTACACTCTCTTTTTGTGATTTTGAAATTTATATTTTAATTTAGTTTGAAGTATTTAATTTACTAGTTACTAAAATATATTTATTCAAATTCTGAATGGTGAATCAATATTCTTAATATAATAATCAGAAGTTGCATACTTTTCCAAAACTTTTAATATAAAATCAAAATTTGAATAAATAATTGTTTTATTTAAACCAGAGGGTTCCCAAACGGCGCGACGCTCTTTTTGAGAGCACCATGACTCAAAAAAAATTATTTATTATTTATTGTAATTTTTGTTGATTTCAAATTGAATCTTGTGAAAAAATTATTATCTTGCAGTCCGATTCGGACAGCACGAATCGAAACTATTTATCTAAAGGCACCACTGAAAAAAAAGTTTGGAAACTGCTGATTTAAACTGATGCCTTTATACATTTATATTTTTAATCATAATATTAAAACTTGTTATTGAGTAGTAGTACTGATTCATATTGAATTAAATATATGATTACCATTTGAATAGAAAAGCCAGTTATTGTTTTATCTACACAAATCATATTTGATGACAAAGCATTTAGTTTGGAAAATGGTGTAGGAACATCATTATCATTATTAGAATTACAGTGATCATTCAGTTCAATAGATTGTTCCTGAAATGTAAGGTATCAATTACAATTTGAATACAAAATAAAATAATATGCGGAATTATAAAATAGAAATGTTAAAATATATATACGTTAGATTTAATTGACATGTCGCAGCTCATCCTTTCGATATGACATAAAGAGTCATTTAATTGGTCGAGTGTATCAAGTTCTGCTTGAAATTCATCATGGATTTCAGGAAACTAATACATAAAAAGATTAATTTAATCTTAAAATTGAACCTTTTCAGTTAATTTATTACTTACACTATGTGATGATCTATTATTTGAATTATTTTCATCAAACTTTAAATTTATGTAAGTGTTACATAAATTATTTGAATTATAATAATTATTTTTTGTCAACAAATCAAATTCGTAATTAAGATTTTTTAAGACTTTTTTAATATCTTCATCAGTTATTATATTACATTTAGTAAATAGTTTGTCATTATTTACAATATTTATTTTTTCTTCACAATTATTATTTTCAATAATTTCAATTGAAGATAAGTTATTAGGCTTTAATTTAATTGGTTCATCAATTAATAAAGGTTTATAGCTATCTAAACAGTTTTTTGTTTCAATATCATTAACATTTGGTAAATTTACCTCTTCATTACAAATATTCACATCTGGTTTATTAAATTCAGTAAATTCAACATTATTAGTTTTATTAGAATATAAATTATTTGTTATTGTGTGTTTATTCATATTTAAATTAGCAGCAGGTTCATAGAATTCCGAATTATTTTTTTCTGATTGTTGTAAATTATGTTTACATTTTAATACTGAAATAAAACTCATTGGAGGTGGAGGAGATTTTAAAGTTGACAATGATAACATATTATTGAAATTCTCAGTTTGGGTTGATTCTGTATAACAATTTTTAACTGGCAAACACTGATCAAATAATAATTCTTGAAGCTCTTCTAGATTGTCAATACTTTTCATAATTTCCTCATGCGATTTAATAGGCAATTGCAAGCCTGTGTGTGATTTAGTACAATTATTTAAATTATCCAAAGACTTAATACTCAAATTAATATCAGGCATAGTCAATTCCTCTCTATTCAAATGAGCACTATCACTTTTTTGTTTTTCGTTATCATGGCACGATCCATTTAACAAGGTCACTAAAATTATAAACTATATTAATCTTTATACTTATAATATACTTAAACAATATACTTACCATCATTATTACATTTTTGAATGGAAGATGTATCAATGTCATTTGCTTTAGGCATTGAAATATCACATAAATTCTTACCAAATAATTGATAATCATCATTGAATTTTAATTTAGAAAATAAATTTTCAGGTTTGGTAACATCACGTATTTTAGGTTCTAAAACATCAATTAAAATTAAAAATAAGAATATTTATTATACCATAAGGAGAAAACATACTTGAGTCTATTAATTTTGTTGTTGAAATTGTACTTGGTATTTTTGACATTTTTGAAAATTCACATGCACTTATAACCTAGTGGTTAAAAATAATCATAATACAAACTAATTAAATAAAAATTAACAATTTTATTGTAATTATTCTTAAATTCCTAATTAATATTAGGCATGCGAAAAATTAAAATGCTTATTATATATTATAATTTTAGTAATCAATAATAAGACCACAAAGTAAGCAAATTTTTACTATCGTTAAGGTCTTCCAGAAAATTAAATTGTAGGTTTGTTAAAAAATTTAGATACCATACTAAGCAAAAAATAAAGGGACAGCTATTATTGGTATATAAAATATTGTTCGTAACTAAATGGCATGCGGGAAATAAAAAAATAAGGCAATTTTTGGCACATAACGTGAAAAACATTTGCTATCCCTGTCTTATACTAAAATAAATAAAACAAAAATAATTACATCTTTTGTATCATTTGAATATTCATCTGTAATTTTAAAATCTTTTATTGATTTTTTTTGCACATTTTTATGAGCTTCCAGTGGTTTTTTACAATTTTTAACTTTAGGGGGAGGTGACCAAGTTTGATCCATCTAAATGTACATTTTATAAGTATCAGGTACAGGTTAGTAATAAATAAAAAATTATTAATGCTAAGTACTATACTTTAGATTCGTTTGATTCAGTTAGTAAGTTAATACCAATTTTTTGAACATTTCTAAGAGCTTCTAGAGGTTTTCTAACACTTTTAACTTTAGGTGGAGGTGACCATGTTTGATCTACCTAAAGATACATTTTGTAAGTATCATATAAAATGTGTAAGTAATAAATTACAAATAATTAATGTTTAGTACTAACTTTAGGTTCATTTGATTCAGTCGGTAAACTTATATCAATTTTACATTTGTCTTGAACATTGATAGCCTAAAAATGTAAATAGAAATTATAAAATTATCGTAGAAATTAATGTTTCAAAATACAATTTAAGTTATTGTATGAGGAAATTACACCATTATAAACAGATTGTTCATCCTCTACATAGGTAATATAATACAATTCTTGAGGATTATTCCAAAAAATAACCTTCTAATGTTTGTTATCAACTACAAATACAAATACAAGAAGTACATTATTTAATATTATGATTAATTTTTAAATATTTAAGTTCTTGAAGATATATTGATTATTGAATCTAGATTTCAAGATATTTCTTGGTATACAAATTTAAACAATGATTTAGCAAACATAAGTTTTGTAATGTTACATCATAGAATAAACAAATACCTTAATTAAATAATGGTGTATACACTCTGTAGATATTAATAATATTATAACTTATAATCAATTTACTTTTCTAAGAGCAAATGGAGACTTTATGTTTGATTATAAATTGAATATTTAATTTTTGGTTATCCGAAGTCTTTAATAAATATGGACATAATATACAACCCAATATGCATTATCCATCTTTTGTTTTCGTAACACATAATTCATAATTGATAAATTGTAATTACCTTTTGCTTTTTAGAAGCTATAGCTAGTTCTCTTGTAGTTTTTTGTAACTCATCTAATTTTTTTTTTCGTTCTTCTGCCAACTTTTTTTTCTCTAATAAATCTAATTTACATTTTGAAGTTCTTTCTTTTTTTTTCTTTTCAATATATAATTTTGTTTCTGTAGCTTTGGTATTTTTTTCAGTTTTTTGCTCTTCAGCACAATTGTTTAATATTATTTTATCAACTTTAGTTGGTTTATTTTTTGGAAGTATACCTAAATTAATATAAATATTTAAGACAATTATTTTATAACTTAACAGTTAAATATTATTACATTAAATATGACTTACATTGTTTATTAAGCAGAACAGTTTCATTGATCGAAGGAATTGGTGGTCTAATAATTGCATTATTTAAAATTTGAATTGTATCCTTAACTGTAGGTAAATTTGGTCTACATTTTTGCTTACACGTATCTCCTATTATTATGGCTTCTGAAGTATGAACCATGTTTTTGGGTTTCTTTAGTTTATTAGGACTATTTTCTTGTATATTTAAACCAATATTTTTGTGAGTAGACATCTTCCTACAAAATTGTAAGCAATGATTTAAGTTGTTTAAGATCATATATAATTTTAGTTAAATAAATTAAATAAAGAAATAAAACCTTTAATAAATTAAACCTTGTTCAACAAATATAAATAAAATAATTATAATTCATTAGTTGTACAAGTTAACACAGTTTGCAAAATTCATAAACAATTTAAATATGTATCATACAGTAAATAATTAGAAACAAACAAATAGGTACAACATAAATGAATATTATACTCACTACAGTTCCAGTGTATATAATGTAATCGTAGGTGATGAGAATTTTGTAGTGTATGATTAATTAAATCAAACATCATTGAATTTATGGCATGTTTAGTTTATTTATTGAACATACATAATAAATACATTATAATAAGGTAAATAACAACGTATGATGAAATATATTAGACTAATTTTTAATTTTTTCCATTTTCTGTTACAAAATATCATAACATAACAAACGTATAATGATGTGAGAATACGATGTTTGGTGTTATCAATTTGTTATCAATATTTCTAGTATTTACTATTTTTTAAATTTTTTTACCTTTTCCAGTGAAACCACAAATTGAGATAATTTAAACCAATAATTAATTTAATATTATCTTAGAGAAAATATAAAACTATAGACAATATTTTACTATATGCCATATAGTTATGGATACAACATACAAACTTTTTAATTACCTATAACTACGTCCATAATATTATATTGTATATATTTTGTATGTAGTATATACTATTATACTATATAGGTGTTAATGTGTTATAGAACATTATGTGTCAGTTTACAGTTACCACTATTTATTAGAGGAAACTAGGCAAACTAGGGTCCCAGCGTCACTTTTAATTAAGAATTAAGATGCCATAATTTTTATTTTTACGCTTATCCGTGTGAACAAAAATTGGGGTCAGTACATATGTCGTATGCTATCTACCGACTACCGGCGTATGCTATCTACAACAAATTAATACTTGTGTCGTATGCTACCTACGCGAAAAAAATGTAAAAAAATGTCACCTTACCTAAATAATTTTATTAGAGCTTGTAGTTTTACAGTTGTCATTTAAATAATAATATATTTATAAAAACGTATCTTTATGTCTCTCAAGAAACTTCCGAACGTATTGGTTGGATTGATTGAACGCCACTATTCTTCCTGTAATTACCTTTCGATTAGGTTTGCAGCACCACGTGATCTTATATTGTAGTTGACCTTTAGGTGTCTCCATAAACACTCAATTGTTTGAGTTTGAGTACCTGTATGCGGATCTATGAAGTTCTTACTATGATTAACAGTTTGGTGAAGAAAACAGTGATTTTTTTAATTGCTGTATGCTCTCCACTCATCTGAATGAACTTATGTTCCTGGTTCTATTTCTTGAATTATTATTGGTAATAATGTGTCTCGATCCCTCTTATTGACTAGAAAAAGACGGCGTTCTAAAATTGCATCTTCACGCAAACAGCACATGCCAAACACCCAAGGTCCTTGAACTCGGCTGCCATAATTTCGATTAGTATTATAGTTTTGATTTTCTTTGTTAGAATTACCCTCGGAAGTATCGGAACTCGGAAGTATTACTATCAGCATCTTCATTATCAACAGGTTTATAATCTCCAAGGCGAAGTCTTCCTCTGTTGTCCTTACGTTTCCCTTGAAAAATAGATTCGTCTATTTGTACTATTAATCCTTATCCACCTATTTTTCCACGTTTTTTAAACTGTTCTGCCACCACGCCTCGACATAGATTGAACCAATCTGAGACTGCACGATGACTTCTGCCAGTTATTTTTTCTGTTTGTGTGACTAAATTATTTACCCAGCACCAAACAAGTTCAATAATTTCATATAAACTCAAACCACTTATATTTTTTATATTTTTATCCACGTAGGTAAAAAATGGATTTCGGGAACGTATTGATTGCCATTTTTGACAACCTCTTGTTTGGCATCGCATGTTTTTGGTTTTAACTAATTGACAGATTGCATCTCGTTTTTGACTATTTTTTAATGTTTCTTTCATGTCACCACCACACACTTCACCCGTAGCATTTAATTTAGTACATACATTTGAATTCGGTAATAACCCGCATTCTTTTAAACATTTGACACAAGATTAGTCGTTAAAAATAATATTTCTGTATAAATCACCTAAAATACTCATTTTCATAAAACTCAAATGAACACAAAAATACCAAAACGAACACGTTTATCGTTTATTTAGCACCAAACATATTCCAAAAGTTACAACATATACGAATACAATTGTTTCGTAGTTGGTAACGTATTAAAAATAGAAGCGGAAAATGTGTAGATAACCTTAATAATGTATATAGCATACGACACCAATAAATCGACTGTAGATAGCATACGGCACGTGTACCTTGGGGTCAATAAATTGTCGATTATTACCAACAAAAAAAATTCTAATTTTCTTAATTCTTACATATTTTATGAAAATATTAAATAAAAGTGTAGTGGTATCTAACCTAATTAACTATACCTATGCACCTAAGTGTTTAGTTTTAATTTTTATTGATAGGTATATTATATAGGCACACGTGTTTCCTAAACACCCATATTCTTTAAGTTTTAAAGGTTTTTAAAGAGGATTTTGCAAAACCTAGTGGTGGCTAGTGCTACGAATTTTAATATTCATTTAGGCGAGGCGGCCGACGGGCACAAATCCGCTATACCTCGACCTACTGTATAAACTATAAAATCTCTGCGAGTGGCAGGTCCATCCCTCGGCAGTCGGCACGAATCCCACATTAGCGCCTGGCACAATTTAATTGTGTTCGATTTATATTTTTATTAGGGGATATCGACCGTTATCCGTGTATCGTCTTATTATTTTTTCACGTATTTTATGTTCGAATACGGAAACATGAAGACATACCTACCATTTGCATATAATTCTATTCGAACACTATTTTAGATTTTAGGCGAAGCGATGAATGTACTGATTTTACAATGGTGTGTGTTTTATTTAATTTTTATTTTTGTGTCTATTATCAAGGTTTGGAGCAGTAAAAGTCCTTCATTTTCTTCAACACCAACTTTTCGGGTAGGAAAGTGAATCTAGTTGGTGCATTAGGGAGGTCAAAATTTAAAATTCCCAAAAGTTTTCAAAAGCGACAAGAAAAATAAACGAAAAATTAAGGAAAAAAACGGAATTTTTAAGCAAAATTAGTTTTTGAAAAAATCGATATTGGTTTTTAGTCCGTGGTTAAGCGTCTGAATTTCAAATTTCGACTAATTTCGTAAAAATCACTAAAATGTACAAATTATTTTTAGTTAGAAATTCATAAAAATTATTTTCGTATCTAAAATTTGACACTTTAATACAAGATTTCTTATGAGTTTATCTACCTTAATAAAAAAAAAATATTCTATCGAAAAGTCAAATTGAATTTTTACAACATTAGATATTCACTCAATTTTTCATGTAGCGATTTATTTATTTTGCTGTAATTTAAAAAATAATAACTAGATACTTGAAGTTTACACACGACTACACGAGATGCCCCTATAATAATTTTACATTTAATTTTAATAAGAGGTCAATAAAATTCACTTTGATTTTTAAACTAATAGAGCTAAACGTGATCTGCTAAACTGTAAAATTTGATGTACCATCTTGTAAGATGGAGACAACACATGCGGGAAGCGGGTATAACGTCCTCTTAAACTGTTGACGGACATTTTCAATTTTCATTTTTTTTTCTATAAATGTCAATAAAATTGTATTGATTGAGTCAAAAACCATGAAAATGTAATACAATAAGACTCCTAATATATTGTTACAATAGAGGTTGAAAAATATTAAAAATACACATCCACGATTTATTTATAAGCATTTAAAGTTCAAATTTTGACAATATTTATCAAATTGAAAATGTACAAATTATTTTGTTGTTAAACATTCTCAAAATGTTCAACTTTTATAGCTAAGTATTGAAAATTTAAAGCAAGGTTCCACTTACCTAAGCAGTTTTTTCCGTAACTAAAAAAATCTGATAAATATATAAATATAGTTATTTTGTAGAGACATTTTAAGTTCAAATTTGGACAAAATTATTTATTAATACACAAAGAATAACGATTTTTGTCATTTTGTTGTAATTCGGTTCCAAAACTGCTCAATTTTACAAAAGTATATTTTATATTTTTCCAGCATCACCGATAATTTCAGAATAATATTGGGAATAATATTAATTCAACTTACCGGCTACCATATTAATAATAAGTAAAAACACTTTGAAATTTCCTAGACTGACATACCGTCTCCGCTCAGAATCGTTTTTCGTATACAATAATATGATATTATATCATTGAATTATAAATTTTACACCATCTATTTCAGTGACCCACTTGTTAACTACTGAATTTTTTAAGTTTGTACAAATTCATCACGCCAAACCGGGTTGAAGGCTTGAGAGATGTTTAGGAAATTGGTAGGCTGTACTTTAAGTTTTCTATAGTATACGAATACCTAATGGATAAACATATTTTTATTAGAGCTGGGACTTTCATGGATTTGCTTATTTTTTCTGGTTAACTTTATCGTATGCTCAGTAAGTATACACAATACATTTGACAACGTTTGCGATTAAATACTCAAAGTTGTTAGTGCATATTTTCAATTTTTTTTTTAGAAAGGGAAAATTCCCACCTATTACCTTAAACGTGCAAACTCTGCCAACCTCGCAGACTTAGATCATATACACTGGATTGAGCTATAGCGTATATCACGCGTAGTCCGTGTTTGAAGCAGACCTGTCATGCCCAAAGTACCTATTGCGCATGCGGGAGAAATGAAATAGATTGCGCGGGACGGGGAAAGAACAATAATGTGCTATAGTGATAAGGACGATTAGGTACTGAATGCTTAGATCATATACTTTGCTCATGCGCAGTGATGACTTCGGGCACGAACAGCTATGCTTCAAGATTTTAAATCATAGCTCTATCCAGTGTATATGATCTAAGCTCGCAGAGAACTCGTTATCTAGGTATTATCATTGATCAACGTCTTATCTGGTCTAATTATCTTCGCAACAAACTTCTATTCTTAAACGATCGATTTCGTTTTCTCCGCTCTCTCCTAACCTCCAGCCACATAAAGCTACCAATCAACTACTAATATACAAACTCTACCTCAAACCACATTGGTCCAGGTTGGACGTAAGGAATCCGAAAATGGAGTTCTGCTGAAATTTCAAACAAAAACCGTATTCAGCGCTTCCAATCCGAAACCCTCCGTGTTATAACTAAAGCACCTTTTTACATATGCAATTAGTCCTTACACAATGATCTCGGTGGTTCACGATGTAGCTTGAACTTTTTGTTGGCGATTCAACTTAAATGTTCAAAATCACATCAATCCCTTCATCAAAGGGCTTGCGCCAGCAATTACACCAGGTAACCCCAGGAAAAGATTAAAAAGGACTGTACCTACATACAGTATTAGAATGTATTATATAGTAAGAAAACTAGATGATGTACCTTATTATAACAATGCAAAAACATTAAGTAACATTTTCAGGCACTCAGCTGTGCCACCCGACCTGGACAGGATCCCTAAAAATAGACTTTAACTTAAACTATAACATTTTAATAGTTAAGTACGTACTACAATCATTTTGTTCAATGATAACAATATGTACAGTCATTACCATCTATAACGGAGGCCAAAGGATAGTAAAAATATGTTGTTTTAACCAGATGTTGCTTTATAAATGCACATATAAATAAACAAATTTTTTCCGTGGCCTAGAAATTAACGTCGTTCTTACTATTTATTTATTATGAAAGACACGGGCTTAACTCTTTTGAAAACAATATAAACATATTTATAATGGATATTTACAAATGTAATAATATGTAAACAATTATTATATAAAAATATTCAGAAGAAACTCAGAATTATATAATATAACACCCTATTTTATATCGTTATGATCGGCGTCGATATAGATGGTGGTGACTGTAATAATGACACTTGTATTATTAGCTAAATAAATTATATTCAAGTAATAATAATATATTAGTTATATTATACATAGGTATATTTTAAAATCAATCGCATATTTTTGTTAGTACTGTTGTGGTTTTACGATCGTACCATAGTTAGAACTACTTAAAGTTTTTGACTTAAGTTTTGCACTTTTTTCATATGGTACTACATCATTTGACTCGTTTATGTATTCATATTCATTTGTTCGCTTCGTATACAGCCATCTAAACATAAAAATAAAAACTTAACAGACAATAATATTTTAATATACTAATGGACTTATTAAATATTATATAAGTAGTTTAAAAATTAAAGATCTGTTAACATTGAATATTAAAATCAGCAAATTGTGGAAAAATTAAACTAACCATTTTTAGTTTGATAAGAATATAACATTGTTACTACTTGTACGAGTCAAGAAAATATGCTCTATAAATTTCATGCTGTGTGATTTATCAATTCAATTTAAAAAAATGTAGATATTTCTAAAAGACATTTTTTGGTTTTTTTAGTAAACAGAACTTTAAATAAAACACATTTTTAAATTTTAACGTTTTAAATAATTAATATAAATAATTATATTTACAGGAACAAAACAATAGACGGGGCCATGAATATGAAAGTGATCGTATAAAAAGCTCCAGGTAGAATATTAATTGTGGTTTCATATAAGCCATTGTACATGAGTCCAAACACTAATGAAACCATAATTTCTGCAATGCCAAATATAGCTGCTATTTGACCTTAAATAAAACAAATTTATAAAATTTTTATAATAATATTTAATTCTAAAAACTTTCATTTTCAATTTAACAATTTATTGAATGTTTATAGTTTAGAAATGTTATTTAATTTTTAATAATCTTTCCATAAGAAGTAAAATATTATACATGGGAGAATCAATGATTATTAATTTTGTTATAATCATACGTTGGTTAAAATCAAAAAATATTTTTCTGTACAAAATATTTTAGAGTTCCTATATACCTAATCTATTTTTTTTAAAGTTATATAAGTAATTTTTTAACGTGTGATCAAATAAAAATCAAATAATTTCTTGTGATATGAATAGTTTATTTATTTATTGTTCAAAAAACAGTCTGAGTTTACTTATAAGAACTGGTTGAAGTGGATTAATATAAGTTGGGGACGAGACTAATACTCTTAATTTTTATAACTACTTTTTTATACTTTCCAATTAGGCGGCTTGCATTGTATCGTGCTGAATATCTATATACTACTTATCCCAGTTGCTACTTATTAGTGATTCATTCACCTATTGCACTTATTCACATATTACATTATTGTAGATATTAAATTATATATTAGTGAGTAAGTGACGTTTTATCTTTTGACTTCCGGTGTCAAACATTACAATAATTGTAAATAACAAAATATTTTTTACAAAAAATATCATAAGAGAATACATTTAGTTTATCCAAATCTAAAAGGGGTGGATAATTTTAAACAAAATAAGAGGAGGAGGATGGCAAATGAATGTACATAATATTATAGAAGTGGAATATTGTCATCCTCACTTATTATTTCCCCACTTCGACCACTAAATATTATAATCAATGTTAAGTCATTAGGTCTTACTGAGTTCAGTGCTTGGTACTAGTTTTGTCATCAATGATTTGGTAGATATATTTTCTGCAGTGACCAAAATGTTCACTAGAGGTCCTGTACACGATTGAACATATTGAATAATGAAAAAATAACTCTATCAACGAATTTCATTACTTACCTATATAGAAGAGGGATTCGGTATAAGCAAAGGTGTAGAACAATGCACCCAGTGTTTGACTAATCGTTGATAACATTCCTAATATTTCATCGGAAATTTTCAATTGCTTACTAAGGACAAATGAGGTAAATAGAAGACCTGAAAAAAAATAAATTCGTCAATTTCGTCCTTAAAAAAATACATTGATATTTGATATCATTAGGAGTTATAAATTGTTTTTTAAACAAACCAATTATGTTTACTGCTAATTCATACGATGCAAATACACTGTATTTTACTTCGTTCCAATTGAATTGCACTCGGGTGTACAAATAACATACTGTATGATAACCTACACAAGTAAACAAATAAGTAGGTAATTAATAAATATCATATTAGTTATAATAAATTTTATTGCAGTTTTATTGTTCAATTTTTTCTATGATTTCTAATATGAGGTTAGTAGGTAATTAGATAAATATTAGTAACACACTAATGTGTAATTATTATTAGAAAAACTTCTTAAATGATATCGTCATAGCTTATTTTGTGTTTAGCAAGGTAATTGGTTTTATAATATTATAATGTCGATAGTAGTGCTATCAATTTGATTTACACTTATTTGGAATGCTTGTAACTTAATCACCACTTTGGCGTCTACATATGCACGTACATAATACAGATTAAAAATGTTGATTTTCATAACTCAAAGTATGCCAGTGCTTTGTGTTTCAGCAAATTAAATTAAAGTAATATAAGCAACAATTTGTTTAAAATTAACTAACTTCACTATAAATCAATATTTTAGCTCTAGGATTTATCACACTCAAGTATCGTACTTACTACTTTTGAATGGTCACAAATACGATTGAATAATAGTTTATATTGTTATTGTCTTTTCCTTATTTTTTAAAATCGATACAGTACAACTGATAATATTAACTAGGTTCTAGATATGTTTCAAATTTTGAGTCAACTAAATTTTAAATATTAGAACAGTGTTAAAATCGTCACAAAAGTAACGCGGAATAAAAAAAAAATCGAATTTCTTAAAACTGTGATTTCTTTTTTTATAAGTTTCCTATTTTCATTTTAGATAACAATAACTTCTTCGTTTCGTTCAAAATCTAAAAAGTGGACAAGTGGGTACCACTCAATTATACACTAGGTATACCTGGGTATACAACTACGTAGTTGTCGAGTATGTCATCGTAATGGATGTGTTAGATTTGAATCTATGTTAAATCATTGAATATGAAAAACGATTCTGAGCGGAGATGACGTGTCATACTGTCATCTTATAGTATACTATAATATAAATAGCCAAAATTTAAGTAAAAATTAAAAATCGCTGAATATCAAATATCGTAAAAATTTTAAATTCAAACGCTCATAAAAAATGTATGTTACCTCAGTAAACTTTTTTTGATAAAAGTAAAAAAACTTGTGGTGAATCTTCTAATACATTTTTTTATGTGAGCTATGAAAATAAAAACTTTTATAGATTTTCTAATTGAAAAATAATTTGCAAATGTTCAGGATTTTGATGAATTTTGTAGAAATTTGAACTTTAAATGTATATAAAAATTAATCGTGTTTATGTACCTTCAATATTTTTTGAACTGCTATTAAAGCAATTTATGACGAGCCTCTCATTCAATTTTAAATCATTTTTACTAAGTGAAAAAGTTTTTGTCTACAGTAATTTTAAAAACAATTCTAAGATTTAAAAAATTTCTTATGGTTATAAATAGCTCAAAAAGAGTATAGAGTAAGTGTATGAAAAATGATGTATAAATATTTGATAAACATTTCAAGTGTCTACGGTGATTAGTTTTTAAGTTAGGTACCTGCTACACCAAAAATAGAATCAATTTTTGTCGAAAATTCCCATTTTTCCTTAATTTTAAATTTTAACGCCCTCTCCCCCTCCCCACGAATGCACCAACTAGATTCAAGTTTTATCAGAAAAGATGCTGATGTCGAAAATTAGAGCATTTTAACTACCTCAAATGTTGATGACAGTCAGAAAAAAAAACTGTAAAACCAATACACTCATCAGTCATCGGTACGTTTAAAAACTAATATTGTTATTCAAACATATTGTTTTATTTAGTTTCAATTATACTAACCAGCATTTGTACCAGCACTTGCCATGAATATAATTAGTAAAATTATAATTCTAATCCTTTGTCTGTTTGGACGTTTTTTAAAAGTAGTATTGAACGACCGTGTGATGTGTTTGAAGTCTAAAAATTCTGATATGGTCGTTCGATATGATTTGTTTTTATTCACTTCCGTAACTGGCGTCACATCTTTGACAAACAATAATCCATACAATAGACCTATTATAATCAACGTAGACGATATACCATATGCTCCGTAGAATCCTAACTTATTATATATTATGCCGGACATTGACGTTCCAATAGCCATAGATACAGCCATAACAGCATTCAATGCTCCAATTCTGAACGTTCGTTGTCCCACCTAAAAGAAATAAAATTATCAAATATAGATTAAATTACTATAGATTAAGATTACAACAATCAGTATCCTTCTTGTTTTTTTTATGTACATACATTTTTATTTTAATAAACAAATTAAAATGTTTTTGTAAAACAAATTTTATGTCTGTAAACTTGTAATATATTTTCAGTACTTACATCGTCATTCTATAATAAATTAGCAACATATCTTTCAATATTTAAAATAACCAAATTTGAGAAAAAGTCTTGAAAAATACTTGTATTTAACCAATTTTCGGTATTATCGAAGGGAATCATTTTCATGACTATTATTCGATATATATTTGGGGGAACTATGAAAATATTTGTGGTGCTTATCATGTATTCTATATGAATCGATTATCGATAGGACTATTAGGCGAGCAGCCAAGAAATACAAGTTCAGTGATTACGTTCTCGAAAAATTATTTATCTATAATGGTTATAAATAGGTACCCTATATGATAATAGCCAGTAACAATATCTATATTTATTACTTTTTGACGTATTTATCTAAAACTTTTATCGAAACTATTGCAATAGCACTTCTTTTATTACATTTACTTATCGTACCTGCCTTTAAACAAGATAAGTATTAACTAATAACAATAGAAAATTAGAAACCGTGTTAGTTATCATTAATGTTATTATTGAGCCAAGTTCCAATTCCAATAAATTAGAACTAACATTTTTTCAGACTTGGGATGGCAAAGATGCTCTTTCGGGACAATAATGGTTCATTATGCTTAGTAAAATTTGAAGATTGTTCTTGGATTTATGGTCTTGCATGCCTTAGCCTTGCAGTAAAACCAGGGCCGTATTAAGAAATTATGCTCCCCAGCGCAATTCTAAAATTTCGCCCCTCTTTTTGGTGGATGTCTAGCGTTAAAAATTAAAATTATAAATATCTGTATGAAATTATAAACATTTCCTCGTATTTTAAGTAAAGGAACAATTTCACTTTAGTTACCACCAGTTTTTAAAAAAATTTTTTTTAAAAATATTATATTTTAACGTTTTTTTTTTATACTTTATAAGTTGTATAGTTGAGAAGTTCCGATTTTCTGTTTTTATGCATGTACGACGTCGTGGTTTACCGCCGCGCATAGCGCTCATAACAAATTAAAAATGTAGGAGAAAAATGGTTTCTCTCTTTGGCCACGGGCAACATAGACAAAATGCATTTACGTAGAATAATTTTTTTTTGTTTTTAATTAGTGATCTTAGAGTAAAATCACCCATTATAAAAACTATAGAGTATAATATTATTGTGGTATAATGACATCTCAATTTGTCTAAATATTATCTTAAAACAATCATTATTTAAACATCATTTAAATGTACAACATGTTTTAGTTTATTTTGAAAGTAAAATACAAAGACAAATAACAATAACATATAAGATCGACATGTCATACCCTCAAAAATATTATTCTACATCGTTTTTATAATGGGTGATTCTAAGTTTACTTTAAAACATAGAGAAAATTATTGAGTAAATGCGTTTTGTCTTATGTTACGCCTGGGCCAGAGAGAAAAAACAAATAGTGCGGTGATATCCTCATAAGATCTTAAAAGTAGATAGTAGTTGCTCGCTAAGCCTACCACCTCCAATCGTCAAATTCTAGGTCCTATGGACCTCTCTTAAAGTCAAAACAATGGAACATTTTCTGTTAAAGTAACATATAGTAAAAAAGTCGGTTTGGAGTCTTTAATAAATAGAACATGTCTTTAATAAACACTAAAAATGTATACATTCGTTATCAAATAATTCATCCAGGTCATCATTATACATTTTATGTAATTTCTTAGAAGCTTTGGAAAATTCAGATGACGTGTATTCTAGTATAGTTTCAAAATAAATAAATATTTCGATCGACTCATTCGATGTATTAGTGTTTACCGTTGATAAAACTATAGTAAAATTATGATTTTGTGCTATATAAGTGTATTCTATACAACTGTAACAACTGGCACGCCAGCTGCGTGCGGGATTCTGCTTATTGTGTAAATGTAAAATATGTAATACTGTAATGTCGTATTATCGTAATCAGTTAACCAAGAAACCGTTCCGCATTCGTACAAAAATAGATTTGAGAGATTATTATTGAAGTATAATAAACTTTGGCTAAATTTCCAACTATAAAGCTACAGTACAATACATAGAGAAGCACATTTTATACAGTTCTAATTATTTCAAATTGGTTAAACACAAAAAAGAAATTCATGAAAATGTACGGACCCAAAATTTCACAAGGGGAGGAAATTTCCAACCCTGACCCCCTTAAATACGGCCCCGAGAAAGACTTTGACCAAGACGCCACCAGACGGTATTGGACTAGTAAGGCTGTTGCAAGATTGAGACTGTGAAACCAAGACCAACAAAGCAAGGCTATTGCAGTCATGCTAGTTTTTTCAAATTTGTTCTGTAAACATTTTTTTTTGACCCTTGGCAACATAGACCATTGGGTTTGTATGTGGGGTATAGTTGGTATGATTGGCACGTGTGTTTTTATGGAGGGAGAGGATTCGTCACAAACAACTCAGGTAAACAGGTGGTCAATCATCGGCCCAACCACCGTACACAACAGATCTTTTAATTAAACACAATGTTTAACTGCATAATATATTAGGAAAAGTAGGTACAATAGGTACATAATATTTGAAAATGTATTAGCATATTATTATATTAGTTCATTTTTAGCATTTTAAGAATTCTTATATTTATAAATGTAATATTGTAAGGTCAGATCAATGTTGTTTGGATAAAGTTGTAATAATCGATAAATTGATATCGAAAATTGTACGATTAGAAATTTAATGATATTTAGATTCTAAATTGTATGGACAATTTAAAATCAGTATGTGTTTGTGTATCAGCGATCGGTGCTCAGTGGAGTATTTACTATTAAGGATTTAGGAATTGTATAAAGAAGAGGATAAGGCGTTGAATCACAAATATTTAAGTGATAATTAATTCTATACATATCTATTATCTAAGTTAGTTAATTCGTTAGGTTAAGCAATTATTTCTTCATAAATTATCAATTAAGCCCACGGGACACAGTTACGTCGCCTGTGTTGCCATCATGTCCAAAAGTTGAGTTCGGCCCAACTCTGGAGATATCCTGGTAGCTCATAGCTAGTGAAATAGTGAACGATACCACGATCACAGAGATAAATCAGAATAAAATAAAAGCTACGAGACACGACAAACGACGTAACAGCTGTGCAGTTGAACTCGGCTTTATTTTGGACGTTTCGAAAATTATATATCATGTACCTCCACTATGGATTCAAATAAAAAAAACATTTAACTGTGCATATAGGTATTGATAACTGTAATTGGATTGACATTTTAAGAAATTTCAATGCAATAATTTAATGCCAAATCCTAAATTGACAATAATATTAAAACGTACTGACCGAAGTGGCGTCGCCGATGTAACTGTAGGCAGTCATGGTCATGAGGGTTTGGCCACCAGTCAGGGCCAGCGGTATCGTCTCGGCGACGCCGGCCGCCTCCATGGGCAGCTGATAGAAGTAGTAGACGCACAGCATTTGGCCAGCGTTCCGGGCCAGTTCACCATACAACGGCAATAGCATGCACGGAACGCGCTTCCTTGTCCGGTCGCTCCAAGCACCCACCAACAGCATGAGCACGCACGGCAGCACGTTCTGCGCACACGTCTGCCACATCATCATGCCGGTGACCAGTTTTTGCACGGCCACCTCTTCCGTCGGATGGCCGCCCGCGGTTTTCGTCTCCAACGCCTCGCACGTCTCGTCGGGCAGCTGGAGGTTCACGCGGCATGCCTTCTGCAAGTTCAGGTTGGACACCGTGAGCGTTACCATCGTGAACGCAGTCATGTAACACGCGACCACCGGTTCGACGGTGACGCCGCTCCAGAACCTTCGCCACATCGACACCGCCGCCGCCGCCGCGACCGGCCGATGGCTCATTGTTGACAGGCTGGCCGGCTCGACGTGGACCGAATCTGACGGCGTGTAAGATGCGTGTAAGTAACCTAACCTAGAGTGGTTGTCAGTATGTATACTTAAGCTGTATAATATTAATTATAATAATCTATTAAATATCATAAAGAGATAACATTTTTTAATATGCATTAGAGGGTCATGTCCACTGAACCGATTCTAAACATTCTTTCATTTATAGAAAGCTACACCATCCTTGTGTAACATAGTGATTTTATTTAAGTATATATTATTGTGTATTTAATCGTCTTTTATTTTTGAGATGGTTTCGGAAACAACAGGCCCGATTTACATGCTGTTTTTTTTTAATTTTGTATGCAATTTTGCGATTTAGAATGGCTCAAGCATAAAATCCGTTCTTGATGATAAACATCAAATAATTTTCTTTGTTCACATAGAATGACCACTGATTACACAAATAAAATTAAAAATAATAATTGGTTTGGACTACCCGACTATCATGCCTTGCTATTGGACTTTTTTCAAATAAAATAAAATAATATTATAAGCCCCACATAAGGATGGTTCAGTTTTTTTCCACACAAACATATTTTCAGGACATATTTATAGGTAGTAAATTATATTTACATTTTTGTTAAATGACGTATAGTTAAATAATACATTGTTTAGTTTAAATTACACAACAATGATCAATTTTTACTTGTTAGACATACCTACTTAATGGATGGAACTGTGACAGTCTGTAATCTATCAGTCTATCACATCACATAGAACGTATAGGTTAGGAGTACAACGCGTTAAGTTGACTTAATGTTATAAGTTAAAGATTACCTTATTTCAATCCACTATTTCTCCATTTAGGTGATATTAGATTTTTGACAGCCACAGTGCGTTGACAATCACACGTTTCATAAAATGTTTAGAATGGAAAAGTTCTGTATTCCAAGTATTTGTAATTTTAATTGGCGCGAAAATTCTTTAAATGTAAACAAATTGAATCGTTCAAACGTAAAACCAACAGTTAATGAGTGGTCTGGACGCGGTAGCGAAGAGAACTAGATAATAGTACACTATATTCTACATAATATAGGTAATCTATTAGTCTATATAAAAAATACATAGTTGTAATAAAATATATGTTTAGAATACTACATAATATGGTGTATACATGGTGTGCTGAGGTATTTTCTCGTTTTTGTTTATCAGCTATTTTAATTATTAATTATCATTGTACTCACCAATGCTAACCATGTACAGTATACGAACCTTAGGACACTCCTCCCTCCCTAATCCCCCATTCTACACATCGAACGTTTAGCGTCTTAATACCTACGTATATTTTAATCTTGTCGAATACTATAAATTAGCACTGTTCATTGTATTTATTTATTTGATAGTTTAACACCTGCAAGGGGGTATAATTGCCCAGGTTTTGAAAATAGAAATCCAAAGATAAGTGAGGTACATTTAATAATACATTTATAAATAACTGAAAAACATTTGCATTTAAACGTTTAATAATAATTGCGTTAACATAAAAAACACGTATTTACGTATACAATATAATAAACATGTTGGTTACTTTTCCACATAACATCACTATTAATACTTCGTACTTATCTAATTTTGCATTCTTCCTATTACTTGTTTTAAAATGTATTCTTTGTAGTGTTGTAAATAATGAAATACGACTTTTATGAGTAGGTAGGCACTCACCGCGGGTTATATCATAGTATAGCTTACTGACCTTTCTGTTTACTGCAATAATGTGTTTTGTCTAAAATCATACATTGTGTATGATTGTACGAAGCGGTAACTGTGATATTGAATATTACATAAGTAATTAATGTGTATATTTACGTGTATGCATATGTCAATTATTACTGTGATTTATTACTTTATTAGCTATCATATCAGTTAATATTTTTTACTAAGTATTGAATAATAGTTGAACTGTGCTTTGTTTGCTATTTCGTTGTCCAATTAATAACTAATTATAAAATAATGATGAACACGAAACAATGCGTTTATAAATAACCGATTTGTCAACAACCTTATCAAAAGATAAACGTACGTAGGTAGCAGGTATATTAATGTAAGCTCCGTATCACGTTGGCGGTAGATACAGAGGATGGCATGGTCAGCGCCCAGTGATGTATTTAGGATTTTGCTTCACTAGGTGTACATTTTCTTCATACCCTCTTTCCCGGTTCTTATGTAGGTAGTGTAATATGTTTAAATCAAATACTAGATGAAGACAATTATAAATAAATATAATGAAATTTAATTGTCTGTTTTCTGATAATATACATTTTGTTGTAGTAATTTTGATTTGTTTTTTGATTCTGGGCTTAGAGCTTCAGCTGACACAACAACCAAGATATTGTTAATACAAAGTAGGTATGTAATATTTCAGTGTTTAGTTAGTTTGATTATGGTACTGATAAACCATGAACAAATTACTAGGCATTGGCAATACAAAGTTATAGAGTATTGTACATTGACATTGCCCTATACCCCCCCCCCCCCAAAAAAAAATTGTTGTTTGGTGAAATTGCCCCCTAAATACTCCGCTGCTAGAGCTGATGCAGGGAGACAGGATTCTGAGTATTTACTGGCTGCTACACTTCTACTTCAAGGTATACTTTTTAGAGTAGGTACTGAAACTTTTTTTCGAAAATGTAAACAATTATAGGTAGGTATAGTAATAACCAGGGTTGGGATTTTATAGCACTTAAAATTACATAAATATGCGCTATAATATGACCTTAACTATCGCTAAATATGCGTTAAAAATATGCGATAAAAACAACAAAATATGAAAAAAAAAGGAAATTTATTAATTAATCACTTACAAATTTGAAATTATTATAGGTAGTTACTTAAGCTAATTATCGCTAAATATGCGCTAAAAATATGCAAAAATATGCAAATAACAAAATATGAAAAAAAGCAAATTTATTAATTTATCAATTATCACTTACAAATTAGAAATCATTAGGTATACGTAGCTTAGTCACTCTGGTCAGAATCTTGAAGGGCTGTAAAAAAAATTACCCAATTAATTATTTTCAAAAATTTTAAATAAAAAGTAAGCGATTTAAAATGTTTACCAGAGTGTTACATTGAATTATTAAATGCTTAGCCAGATTATCAAATTTGAATTTACGGCGGTTGTCTGCCAACATAGTCTTGTACGTCATTTCATAACATGTTGACAGATTTTGATTCAAAAACAGGTATAAATGCAAAAAAGTCTCAAAAAACCCAAAAAAAGCAATAAAAACTAAAAAATCGTAAAATATGCAAAAAAAAGCAAAATAAAATTTTTAATTTGAGTTCTCTGTATTATGAAACATATTTTTAGCTTACTCTGCTATTTTTTAAGCATCTCGTAAGAAATACGCAAATGCTATAAAGTCCCAACCCTGGCAATAACTGCCACCACTTATTTAATAGAAACAATCGACCGTAAAATTATGATCATATAATAGGTAACATAAAGTTGACGGATCACACTGGTCGGCTGAAAGAAATTAATTTCTCATAATATTCCTAAAGCCACACACGATTTCTTAGTAATAGTTATTCATTATTATATAACATACACGCAATATTATGTTTTTAAATAATAATTTTGAAGTATTGGCCTTCTTAATTTGAATATAAAAAGCTTAGATAACAAATGTTTTTCAATTTTTTGCAACTAACATTGTGTTAAGTGAAATCTGCAAATTTTAATTAAAAAACTGTGTGTTGTAACTGCTGACTGAATTCGAGTAATATACAATTATTGCATAGAATCTTACTTGTGTTTAATTATTAATGAAAGTGATTAAATATCTTGGGATTAAACTCCAATTTCCCACTTCATGTTATTCACATAAATGTATTTTAATCATATTTTATTAATTACACGTGTTAATTACAAGGCCTGAAGTATTAAAACAAAATATATTGATAGTTATATTATGCTAAATCATCTTATTAGTTCTACAACAAGTCCTAGTAACAACTAACAAAAATGATAGTTATAGCCGGTAGGAAGATAGGCTAAGACGGCTATAACTATATAACCGATAGCCTAACTACAAAGTCCTACAATCTTCATGGAAAAAATTACAATACTAATAAATATTATAAAATGATTATTAAAATGTTTGAATATACAATTTTACTTTAAATTAAACAATATTTTATTGAATAGTATTGACTATTGAGACTACAATTAAGAGGCGCGATAGTGATCACTCTGAGTTTATAGTCACATAATTAAAATGTAGGTGCTGGTACAGTTTCCTTTTATGTTACCTATAATCTATATATTATCTCTCTAATAATAAATGATAACGGAGGCTATCAGGCCATTAGATTTTCTTACGATTTTTTTTATACTAATTATTTCTTATATTATATCACTAAATGAAATAATTGTTAAAGTTCTGACTATTCGGGACTTTGATAAAAAGGAAAAAATAAATTCATTAAATATTGCATTAAATATTATGCTGTGACTTTTTTCTACATTATCGATAAACAGTATTGCTGTACGTTGTTCGTGGCATAAAATATGCAACAAATGTAATGTTAGCAGTAATTGCCTGAAATAAAAAATAATTTAAAAAAAATAGAATACCTAATAAAGGACAAGGTCAAGATTTTTAAGGAAAAATAAAGTATAACACGAGTTCACAAGATATACAAGAGTTGATAGTCGTTTATGATACGCTCAGTTTTTTTTTTACCAATGTGATGGAATGTGAAGGATAGACTCAAATTTAAGGGTTCAAATGCAAAATAAGAATCCGATGGAAATTTCTAGTCTCTACTAGTCTCTCTCATTCCAAATAACACGAACAAAAAAAACTTGAAAGTTGCTTTGCTTTAAAAGCAAATAGGTTTAGAGTGTATAATTTAGTGAATGTATTAAAAATTGAATTCAATGATAAATCGTTGCAAACTAAAAACGAAAAAAAATGAGTGGTATGTAAGACTATATTATATTCTAAGAATAATTAATTTTATTATGTTTATAAATATTAATATTAGTAATTTTATTAGTAATTTATTTTTGATTAGTAATAACCAATAGCTAAAAAGTAAGGAAGGTTGAATTAAATTTTCTAAATTAAAATCACATAAATTATATTATAATATATTAATATATAGGTTATAATGTTATTTCATATAATATATTTCTATAATATAATATTATTGACTAAGCATACATTTTCATTTTTAAAAAGAAATCGAAAATGTTAATTATTTCAAATGTTTATATTTTATAAACTGCTCAATATCATGTATAGAAAATGTTAATACAGACTTTTAATAAAAATATCAAGTGTTTACGGTAGCTAGTTTTTGAATTAGTATGAAATAAGAAAACTTTATCAAAAACTGGTTTTAAGTAAAAATTTCAGTTTTTCTTAATTATTTAGAAAATTAGGTACCTACTTACTGAACATTTTTCCTTTTGACTACCCTAAGTACCAACTAGATTCATTTAACAACAACAATAAAGATACTGAAGTTGAAGAATGAAAAAATTTTACTACTCCACAAGGTGACAAATAGATATAAAAAATGAAAAACACGCATAAATGTAAAATCAAAACATTTCAAAAATATAAAACAGATATTATTAGAGGGTGAATTTTCTTATCTTTTATTGACTATTCACTATTAAAAAGATTAAAAATTGATGTAGGTACACATTGTGGGTACGCATTCGATTTAGTTTGACCAGTACGCTCTTTAAAGTGCACGAGTGATATTAATATTACATTTCTATTTTAAAAATATCCTACATAAAAAAGTGCAAGTACATCGATGATTCCCGAATTTTTATGGTCAATAAATTACTTTTTCATTGAAATGTTTAGAAAAGCTGTTTGTCTTGTACGTCTTGAAACGGTTTCAGTTTTTAAAGAATTTAATATCAAACATCATTATGAATCAAAACATGAAGACAAATATAAATATTTTGTAATAATTCTACTTTTTTTGAATATTTTGTTTTATTCAAAAATATTGTAACGAGCCACATGAAATACCTTCACGGGCCACATGTGACCCGAGGGCAGTGTGCTGGGCATCACTGGTATATGCAATGCAGATATTATGCATTTTTAATTGATGTGTAGAAAAATTTGGAACTTCTTACTTTTTCATTATCATTAAACTGTTTTAATTATTCAATTTACTTTATCATCTATTTTAATATACAAAGTCCGAAATAGATTGTATAAATCACAAATATGTGTGTTTAAAATTATTAATATGTGATTAATAATAATAATAAAAATAATAAATTATTTTTAACAGTCAACGATAGATCAGAAATCTACTACCGTAATTTCCTTGCTTTATAAACCATAGTAAAAATAATATTTCCAAAATACTTTTATTTTCGTTCTATTTGACAAATCTATATTATGTTGTTCATAATAAATTGTAACCATTTTTAGATTTGATTCGTTGATTTGACTGTGTTGATTTTACAATAAAGTGTGTGTGATTTTCTTTTTAAGTAGTAGAAATAATGCTTAGATTTTCAATTTACTTTCTGGTGGGAAAGCGAATCTAGTTTGTACATTAAAGAGGTCAAAATAGAAAAATTCCAAAAGTTTTCAAAAACTTTGGAAAAAAAATTTACTAACGATTTTCTTATTTTGTTATAATTCAAACACGAATAATCTTTGAAATCTTCACTAAATTATTTTTTTGTTGTTTTTCTTATACGTGATGATATATTCAAAATATTTTGACTAGTTTTAAAATATTTAAGGGATGTTTGAATATAGAAATTTTTTTTATTCTTTTTTTTATGATGTCAAAGAAATTGTTTTCGTTGGGTCAAAAAGTTTGTAAATTTAATATGAGGTTTCAAGGTTTCTCATAAGTTATTATAATAACAGTTAAAAAATATTAAAGAAACATAGGCATGATTTTATAAAAAGCATTCGGCGCTTACATTTTGTCAAAATTCGTCAAAAATCAATATAATTTGCACATTTTATTGTACTTAAGAATTCACAGTCATTTATTTTAATACCTAATGGTTGAAAATGTAATACAATATAATTCGTGATTTTTTTTTTATGAATATATAATTAAAATCTAAAATATTTTGATATTTAGATTAATTTTAGACTATTTATTCCACAAATCTATTTACTACCTACCTTAAATACTCGTGGTATGTCGGTATTGATTTATAATTTAAAAATAGCTTAAAATATATCATATGCTTTTAAAGTTTTGAATTTTACTAAACTCATCAAAATCTCGAAAAATTGTGATTTATTTTGTAGACTTCTAAATTTATAATATATACAGTTTTTATATCAGGGGATTAAAAACTTATAATAAACAGCTCATAAGAAATTTATAATGTTACCAAAGAATCTAAAAGAATATTTGAACATAGTTTTTTTTTATTGCTATATGCGTTCAAATTTGGACGAAATTAGATATTTAAACAAATAAATAATGATCTTATTCTGTTTTACTAAAAAGATTCTGAGCAGAGCGATGAATGTATTGATTTTACAATGATGTGTGTTTTTTTATTTTTATTTTTATTTTTGTGTCTATCATCACGTTTTGGGACAGTAAAAGTGCTTTTATTTTCTTCAACAGCATCTTTTCTGGTAGAAAAGTGAATCTAGAAACTAAAATTGTATTGGTTGGGTCAAAGAGCTTGACAATTTAATACAATGCTTTTTGTTTTGACTCAACGTGTTGACGGACATTTTCAATTTTCGTTTTTTTCTATATATATCAATACAATTGTACTCGTTGGGTAAAAAGGTATGAACATTTAGTACAAGACTCTTGATATACTGTTTCAATATTAGTCGAAAAATATTAAAAATACATGGGAACGATTTTGTTTATAAACGTTTAAAGTTCAAATGTTGACAACATTTTTCAAATTGAAAATGTACAAATTATTCTGTACTTCAATATTCATAAAATGTTCAACTTGTATAGCCAAGGACCAAAGATTTAAGTAAAGTTCCACACAAAAAAGTTATTCTGTAACCAAAAAATCTAAAAATCTAAAAGCATAGTTCTTATGTTTTTAATTTTTTTTATGTTTAAATGTGGACAAAATTACATATTAAATAACCAAAAACAATGATTTATGTTACTTTGTTGTTAATTAAAAGTATTATTCGTGGGTACTTGAAAGTTTATTATTATACTTTATACCCACAATGACTTTTAAAATTAATTTTTTTTCAAAAATGAGTTTAACCTCCTGTGTAGTACAAATGCTTCCTAGTAAAATACATTACTTTAATCACAATAATATCCTCAAAATATATACCTACTAAATTACTATTATAGACTGACAGTCCGTCTTCGATCAGAATCGTTCTTCATATACAATGATTTTATATGATTGAATTCTAATTTCACACCATCCATCACAGTGATCCACTCATAACCTTTAGTACAGCAGAGCGTCATCCACTTATCTGTTTTTTTATTTTTAAATTCATCTTTTTAACTTCTTTGAATGATCAAGTGAAACTGTATTTAAGATCTCAACCTAAATATATCAGATGGGAGTACGATTCATTAACTGCAATACTAATTAACTCGTTTCTTCAATAATGCAGCCTATATTTAGATATCAGAGTTATAATTATCTATTGTTTAATTAGTTTAATTAGTATATTCCTCATCGGTTGTTACTTATTCTGAATATTTTATTGGATTGGTAGGTAGATACTATTATTGTTAATAATAATAACAAATCACTGAGTCATATTCTAGGTGTACCTACACCTTGACCTAGGGTACATTTTACAGTAATAGGCAAAAATTGATAGTGATTTCTTATTAATTATTATGCAAATTGTAAACTAATTTTCATTTAAAATATTTTGTAAATAGTTTTATTATAACCTATTTAATATTTTTTCTTCCTATTAAATATATCAGAACAATCTCCCAAGAATTCAAAATTTTAGATGACAGTGGACCTTAAAACCTAAATTAAAGTGGCTCTTTAAATGATGAATTGGGTGTGCAAGTGTCAGTGCATATCATGCACTTCTCATGGCTCTACGCTCTTCCAATAAGTAATATTCGTTGGTTCCTTTAAAAGTTAAAAAAAAAAAATATTAATAAAATTTAAATATAGTATTAACACTGCCTAAATTTAACAACAAAACTAAACAACGTAATTTGGCTTTTCGAAACTTTATTATTTTTCTTTATAACTATACAAATTGTATTATTTTATTTTTTACAATAACAATTTGAATATATTTTTCCTCGATGCTTCCACGTTGATGATCTCGAAAATGTTTAACTTTCAGTGATGATTAATCCAATTGATAATCGCCTGGTGGTTTGCATTACTTCAAAGTTTGTCATTCTCAATTTTTACAGATTTATCGTCGATTTTTTGTGATTGTTTACTTTCTTTGTACATCCATCTATTTTGGAATTTAAACAAATCATCAATAACTTTGTAAGTATGTATCTTCTTTTTGTTTGGAAGGGGGGATAGGGTGGTATGTGGGATATAATTGTGTTAGAAACTTAGAAGTTACAGCAATAATTAAACATTCAAAAAGTAGAAGAATATAGAGCCGCCAAATATTATTTTAATTAAGCATCTATCCACCAATTTATTAAGTGTGTGAAGTTGATACCACCACTTTGTGCTACAAATTTCAAACCTATAAGCAAATATATTGCAAATTATTTGCAAACATTTGTAACCAATTTTTAGAATTTAGAAAGAATTACATTTTTTTATTCACATGAGATTTTTTTATCGAATTTAGATTTTTCTATTCAATTTAGATATTTTATTTAATTAGATTTTTGTATTAAACTTAAATTTTTTTACTAAAATTAGATTTATTTATCTATAAACCAATTTACTATTAATTTTCAAAACATTGGCATATTTTTTGAATCGATCGGACTAATTCACCGCTGGCATAAAAATTGTAAAATTAAACAAAAACACATATTATGTGCCACAAAATATTAGTAGAATTTTAAAATTCGTAGCTCAAACGGGGAGGCTGTGTGAAGTTATCCTCCCCTATCTTATTATTTTTATACTGGGCAGGAAAATGATTTGCAAATTCTGGAAACCGATTTGCAAAATTAGTGCATAATTTTCGAATGAATGGTGGGAGGCCAACTTCACGTACGTGATTGAGCAAATGTGCTATAATTCAAAAAATTGCTTATCGAATTTTATCACAATATTTTTTCATAAAAGAAGTCTGTAGCACAATGTGGTGGTGTCAACTTCTCCCACGTCAATTTATTAGCTTAAATACGAAAATTTAGCATAACAAAAATTGGAATTAGAAAATCTATGTTTTAATGAAAATTTAACCATGTGATTTAGTTATATAAGCCGCTTAGATTTATGTCGATTACTCACAAATATATTACAGTCGCCGGTATGGCTAAGATTGATCCTATTAAACTGTACGCTCCCGGTAACGTGTCTACTGTACTTTTGTAGATCACCGTATATAGCGGACCGAACACGATCGGAACAAGCGATTCGACGATGCCGTAAATGGCTGTAACTTGTCCTATAAATTATAATTTATTTCATTATAATTTGTAATAGTATGTACATTTTAAAATAGATAGAAAAAAATGAACAATATACAACGATTCTTACCTAATTCATCGGGTCCAACTATTTTTGCCATAATTGATCTCGCTGTTATGAAAATCGTACCTCCCATAATGTCTACTAACGGTCCTGAAATCAATATCACTTATATATATATTTTTTATGCCACTTTGACACAATAGGGCTATACAAGTAAATGTTATTTGGTAATTTAAATGTCGTTTGGATCTCATCGGAACATTATAGTAGTTACTAATCAGTATCGTATTATTTTTAAACAAAAACACAGTGATGCCATCATCACTTTGAAAAACAATTATATAAGTAACGAAAATTTAATTAAGTTGCACATTGTATGTATAGTATACATATTATTAGTATCCACTATACTTAGAAATCAGAATATTTTCTATTTATCATTGAATTTAAATTATTGTAATGACTAGTGATTAATATAATATAATTATAATATATATATTACTGCCCAGGTCCGATGAGAATGAAATGCATCAGGATGAAAATATAATACTCGTTCACTGTACATGTTAATAGGTAGTTAAATAATAACTAACATGTTTTGATAAATATTAAGTACACACCCAAATAGTATACCCATTGTTCTGTCGCCAAAGCGTAACATACTCCAGCAGCAATTTTTCCTGCACATGCCATCACTCCAATTAAACTATCGTCGATTTTAAGCACGTGGCTAAATAAGCCAATGCAAATTGCTGTACCTAAAATATAAGATACATTAAAAAAAAATTTAAAAAGGTAGCCGTAATGAACATTGTTGAAAGGAAATCACGTATAACTCTAAATAACGCTGTATTTACTACAGTTTTTATTTTAATTTTATTATTTCACAGAATAATACCTTGAATACCTCATATTTGTTTGTCCATTGACAATAATTACAATCACGAAAGTGGTGGGTGTCACTTTTAGCAGCGGTATCACTCGGAAATGATGGGAGATATGAAAACAAAATTTAGTATTCTAGGTATTCTTCTAAGTATTTTCTAACTACCGTTTTGATCCAAAAAGTCTGAGTTTTTAAATTACCTACTACACTAGTGACCATGGAGAAAGTAGAAAACACACTGAAATCAACTTCGTTCCATCTGAATCGGGCACGCGTATTCAAATACGATACCGAAAGATCACCTGTAAAATTATTGTGCAACTTTAGTCTCATTACAATTATTACAAATATGAAGTTTATTTTGAGTGTGTATATTAGTACATAATATTATACTAGTATTTAGTAATTAAAACTACTTCATTATTTACTAGTTATCTATTAACGTAGTATTTAAGTCTCTAGTAAGAGTATAAATGTGTACAAAATTTGTCTACTAACCGTTTAAAGGTCCCATGATTAAAAATGCAATTAACATTAACATGATTATTCTGAGTTTTCGATTATGTGGACCGTCCTTGAACGTCACTTTAAAAGCTTCTCGAATGTGTTTTGCGTTGAAAAAACCATTAAACAAACCATCATTTCTTGTCTGTGTTGTTGTATTCTCCTGTTCGTTGGGTGACACTTCTTTTATAAATACTAGACCATACAGAAGACCTATTACACATAGGGCTGAAGACAAACCGTACACACCATAGAACCCTAGCTTCTGAAATGTAATACCAGACAACGCTGTACCGATAGCCATGCCTACTGTGGATAGTAAGTTGACAATACCGATTCGTAGAGTTTTCATTTCTTCCTGAAAAAGTATAATATATTTATATTATACATATCAGAACCGATATTATTATTGGCGGACATTCTAATAAAAACAAAACAAAAAACTGATTGCATTATTATTTGTTATACAGGCTGCACCTGCACTCGTGCGTGAAAGTGAAGGCCGTCGTGTTATCAGTTTCTAATGTATTTAAGTGGTCATATTATGCACTTTTTAAAGTGTAAACGTGTTAGGAACACCGTGAAATTCAAGTATGAATTCTAAATAAATGGGTGTAAAGGGCTCATATCATTATTTATTTTTTTTGTGATGTTATGATAAATGAGGATCATGAGATAGCAAAGAGCATAATTGTGTATGAACTGCAGGACTCAGAGGAGACACTTTGAGGTATCCTGTTTCGACCATCAGTATAATTTAAATTTAAAATGTAGGTACAAGTTATTGTTACATAATAGGTAGAGTATCGAATTTTATGTTATGGTATATTTTATCCTTTTTGTATTTTTGGATTTTTGTTAGTAATCTTTACGAAATATAATGGATTTGAAAAAAAATTGGATGTTTATTGCATATTGAAGTGAGATTTAACTATAGGTGAACTGTTTTAAATTGTACAACTAATTAAGTTTGAGTAATTTCACCAATAAAACTATATGTTTAATATTAATTAATACAGTTACTTCAGTACTTCATAAATAAATCAATAATTATCAAATAAACAGTTTTATTGTATAAATTAAAAAAAAACCTATAGTTCGTAATCAGATTTTTAAGCAATTTCACTAAAAATACCATGTGTTTGGCATTAAATAAATTATTAATAAATTAATAGTTATTACATTTTTATTTATTTTTTATTTTTAATAAGAAATATACAATCTGTCTCCTTGGGCACAATAAGAATATGTGATAAGTGGGAGATTTTGTACATGAAAAAGCTTGATGGAAGAAGAAATCCAGCGAAAGCACTACCTATTTGTTTGTCTATTTTTTTTTATTTATTTTTTTTTAAAATTAATTATTGAGTTAATCTCTAAACCAATTTCTTTTTAGTCGTCGTGTGGGATTGCCCTGAATTGTACGTGAAGCTAAATTTGATGTAAGGGGATTGGGATGAGTTGGAAGTCTATTATGACATCGTTTGTAAAATGTTACTGCTTTAGCGGAAACTGTTTTTATATTTAAGTCTGTGTGCCGAGTATATTTGGAGACGTTAGTGATTATGCGTAAGGTTTTATTTTGAACGGTTTGAATTTTGTTAACTTAAGATATTTTTGCATAGCCCCTTAGTTGTAGGCCATAAGTCCACATGGGCTTGATTAAAGATTTATAGATGAGAAGTTTGTTGTTTAGTTTGGTATGTTTGTTAGATATTAGTGTTTTGATTGAGCGTGGTTGTTCATTTAGAGCAAGTTTTTTAGTTCTAACATACAGTCCCAAGACAAGACGACGGTACCTCACCGATTGAGATGGGGGCAGGATTGGAATATTACCTAGGGAGACTTCTGAGCAGGGAGGGAGACGAAGTGTGAAAGTATTATGAATTGGATTTTGATTTGTTGACTTGGACACCCCATTTTTTATACCAGACAGACATCAGGCCAAGGTGATTTTGAAGACTCGATCAAACAGTGTGTGGGTTTTCGTGTACTAATATAATTGTCTTAATAATAATCAAAAAATGATTTAATTGGGTAGACTTAAAAAAAAAATTTTTTTGTGTAATAATTGTTTTAGTTGATTATTTATATTTTCCTTTTTCACGATTTTATTGCATAAAATATTATATGGGATATCATTATACTTTTTAGTGCATCAAAATCCATACCTTGTACAGGGGAGACGTAGAACACTTACCCCGGTGACGTCGGCCACATAGCTGAACATCGCGTTAAACAGAACCATTCTGCCGCCGGCCAGTGACGTAGGCACCGCCTCGACGATGCCGACCACCTCCATGCGGAGCTCTCTGAACCAGTAGACGCAGGCCACCAGGCCAACGACGCGGGCCAGTTCGCTGGCCACGGGCATCAGCATGCACGGCACACGCTTCCGCCGCCGGTCGCTCCAGGACCCGACGAACACGGCCAGCGCGCACGGCACAATGCTCTGGACGACCAACTGCCACAAGAGCATGTCGGCCACCAGCCGCTGAGTGGCCACCTCATACTGGTGCAGTGGGTCACTGGCGTTCGTCTTGGATTTGGCCAGCAGCGCGGCGCACGTGTCGTCGTCAAACTGGAGGTTCACCGAGCACGCCTTCTGCAGGCTCAGGTTCTGGTTGGCCAGCATAATGACCGTCCGGGACACGATGTAACAGCACACCAGTGGTTCCACGTGGATTGCGCTTAGCGCTCGCTTTGTTCGCGACCAGACGGTCTCCTGTCCATCCGGCGTCGTGTCGCCGTCCCGGTCACGTGACTCATCCTTAGACATGTCGGCGTACCAGCTCGTTACTGTTTGTTTTCCTTTTTGGTGGTGCGCTGTCACGGCTCCCACGTTTGGCCACCCTGAAAACCTGTACAAAATACGCTGTGAAATGGTATTGATATGATGGACGACGGTATTGCGGTAATACAATCGATACTAGTGTGGAACGGTATATATAGAGCTATTTCCTTCCTAATAGCTACAATCATTCAATATTATTCGAATGGTTATCAATTATCATATATGTTTTTTTTTTTCATATGCTGGTAAAGTGTATTAGTGGAAAAGGAAAATGTATGGTTTTTCTGGAATCGGGAATTCCCCAACTAAACAATAAATAAGAGTATTTTTATGTTAATAATATTATAGGTAAGACACTTAGTCTTGCCTACTTTGATTTAACGAATATTGAAATTAATTGTTTTTCAAAAAAATTTTCAATGAGGGTTTTTTTACTAAAAAAAAAAATGTAATTCTATATCAATATTTAATAAGTATTTTAAAAAGGCATTTGTTTTTCTTTTCGTTACAACGTTTAAATAATACATGACATAATATTAAAAAACACCTTATCCATATAACATTATTAAAGTATAGTACTTATATAGGTCTACAAGTATATTGACATATTGTATTTTAAGGTAGCTAAATGGTACAAGTTAAAATACCTACAATAAAAAATTGGGCAAGTAGGGAATGGCTCTGTTGTAGAGTAGTCGTCAAATATACCTTGCCATTGATTGGGCTGCCGTATAATGATTTATGGATCATTGATCATGGATGTGTTAAATTTTAATTCAATGATATGTTTATCATAGTGTACAAAAAACGATTCTGAGCGGAAACGGTCAAAATTTTTGGTGACCATGGTACAAATCAATTATTTTAATAATAATATTAATATAAAAAAAAGCATGTTCTCATTTATTTTTTGTGTTCCCCAATATTTTGAAGAAAAAATTAAGTACCAATCAACTAGATCTAATTTTCTACAAGAAAGCACCTTCAAAGTTAATGATTTAGGAGAATTTTTTCTACTGTTAAAAGTATTTACATACTTAAAAACGGTGCATCCAAATTGCATGTCAAAAAAATAAATATAAATTGGAATGTCTAAATTGAATGCCGTCTCTTGGAGGGGTATGTCCGAATAATATAACTAAATAACTTACTTTCCACTGAAGAAACGGGCTTTCGTTACATTTCCATAAAATATATAAATATTGTAGAATGTTGGAAAAGTATTGTTATATTTTAAAACTTAAATTAGGAAAGTCCAAAAAAAAGTTTAAGTTGTGCACATACATAACTGCATGTTATCATAAATGAACATGTGATTCAAAGCTTGCAATTCGGACCGACACCTCTAAGACATGGAATGCAATTCAGACAGACTCTTCCAAGAGATGGCTGAAATTCAGACAGACCCTTCCAAGAGGCGGAATGCAATTGATACATTTTTTTTTTTGTGATTTGGATGCAGATCTCAAAACATTGTTGTAAAACCAATAGAATGATAGCTCCATGAGACCTAAAATAAATTGCATATTTTTACTTATTTACTATTGATTTGTAAGCCTAAAAATATAAGAATTCGATATTAATAAATATATGAAAGTCATTTAAATCTAAAAATTTTATACTTAGCGCATACTGGTAAGAGAAAATTAACTTGCAGTAATAGATAGGTACTGCACCTGATACAAAACCTTAAAAAAATAAATACTTCTGCTAATGCATAATAATTCTCAACTATTAATATGGGTACTTATTATTGCTTAATAACTTAGAACTGAAATTTAATTTTAAATACATTTTCCAACTGATAACTATTCATTACGAGATAAATAGTAACTAAACTGTACTAATATAATATTTGCACTATAGAAGTTAATCGCAGTGAACATTATATCTATTGCGTATTATTAAATTAATTTTTTTATAATATTATAATATAATAATAATATATAAATTTATTTTTTATTAAAACAATTGTATTCACAATATTCGTGGTGCATAATGAGTAAATGGTATAATAGGTACAATTTTAGTTAGTATAATAAGATATTTTGTTAATTGATATATAACTATAGTTACGTAGCTACATTTAATATTTATACAGTTCACTTTAATTAATTATATTGTTTTACCTGATTTAATGAACATAATATATATGTGAGTATTGGAAAAGTTGAGTTGTAATCATAATTATGGTTTTTACGTTATTTTATTTTCATCTCAGTTTTAATCAAAAAAAATCTAAAACAATTATCAATTTAAAAGAGTATTTAAGACTATAGAAAAAAATAAAGTAATACTACACGTACCACGTACACAAACATACTAACTATATTTGTGAAATAATAAAGAGTAATAGTCGGCATGTTTCAAACATCATTATTATACATTTTATTTTGTTATCATGGGTTCAAAGAGGTCATTTAAATTTGACGAACAGAATAGATATACAAAAAATTCTAGTTATTTATAATATTTACCTAATCACAAACATTTTCATATAAATAATTAAATTAAAATAATATTATTTTCTAATAACTAAACAAATAAAATATAATCTGGTAAATTCAAGTCTATACATTTAAATTTTTTATTAACAACCATTTATCTTGATTTAAATTACTTCAGTGGTATATTACAATGTAGAAGGTACACTGAAAACATTTGTAATGACGTACTCAGGCGTAGCAGGTATTATTGTATTAATTGTAACTCTCAGACCTGTGCAATACCATCAGTAGTAAAGTATTTGAAGCCTAACTGGAATATTAAACTTGTTATTAATAACAAAACAACAAACGAGTAAACCTATATGTTATCATAAATAATTAATATATTTTATAACGAAATAACGAATGTATAAGTATAGGTAATTGTGAGTTGTGAGTTATAAGCCATCTCTATAGGTATTACCTATAGTGGTCACTGATCACTATTTTTTCTGGAAATTTGGCACTAGTATGGGTAATAATAGGATATGATGTAAAAATATGCCAATACTTATACTGCCGTCAAAAGCTACTATAAGCTGAAGTGCAGAACTCCACCCGAATAATCCACCAATAATTTCATATTGTTGATTGTCATTATTTAGTTTATGTATTGTCATATTGACAATATGGTTCTTAACCTAACCTGTGATATTTTTGAAAAAAAATTAACTTCTATTGAAATTGAGTTACTTTTTCAACTCATAAGTAATGTAACTTGGCCAAATAAAAAAAAAGTAACTTAAAAATAATTGAGTTTCAATTTTGATAAGAAATTGGTAATGTAATTTAATTTCCAAAAAAAAAATTTTCTCAACGCTGTCAATACAGCATAATTAATATTTACCATTTGAAATACCATACGCAATGCTTATCAAACAACTATGCTTCCACTGATAGCGGGATTTCGCTATCTAGTACTAGTACTATATAGAAATCAGTTCTCATTTCTTAATAATATTATCTATTGAGATACCAAAATAATAGCGCCACCAGTCAGTCCAGCTTAAAATTATCTAACAAAATTATAATATTAAATATTTAAAAACTGACTTATGCCATTTCTTACCAAAACCGCCATGCGTTATGTATTCATTTATGATGTGTGTGTGTGTTTTTTGTTTGTCTGTCATCACCTTTTGGGGCAGTATACAGATTTTAATTTCTATAAATATGTTTAAGTACAGTGCTTAGGTTAAATACACTTCGTATTACCAATTATTATATTATTATTTGTTATTAATACTGCACAATATTATAATGTAGTTAATTTAGCACGTATGTCACTAAAATAATGGATGGTTTTTTTGTGCGTGTGTGATAAAGAATTTAACTGATTTAGATGATTAAAAATCAAATTTAAATATTATTAAAATTAAAAAAATATATTTGTTTTTTTACCTCCATACGTTTTATGTACTTTAAAACTTTAATCTCATTTGATATATTTATACAAATATATACTTACCCCAAATTGTTTTTGCATAACATTTATATCTAAATATTGACAATTTACAATTTTATCTTATATATTGTACCATACTCTCTCAAAGACATAAAAAACTCGTCCAAAAAACATTACTTTTATTATGAGTGTAAATACATAATTTGCCCAAACGCATGGCGCTCATCAAATAATGTACAAGGATAATTGTATAGCCAAAGTTGTGCGCCCCGCATTTTTTTGAAATTTTGAATTTTAATGAAAGTCCCTAGAAATTGAATACTTATTGGATTACATAGGATTTCCTTTCGTTACCTACTGAAATAAAGTAGTATAAATGTTTAAAATTTGAGTTTAAAATTTTTAAATCATGGTAAATCTTTGAGAATTACATTTGTCAAGGGCAACGCCGTGCAGAATCATCAATACTTTTTCTTTTTAAATTAAAATTTTATTTGTACGTAATACGTACTACGTATTTATACTAAGTAAGTATATCGTATATGTACACAAACATACGTAAGATATCAATAAATGTAAATATTCAATTAATATGTTTTACCTCATGAATTTGTAAACAATGTTGCATACTACTCTTAGTAGTTAATTCTGTAATCAAAAAATCTAAAAAATGTATGAAACATATGACTTATAATTTTTTTGTATTCAATTTTGGATGAAATTACATATTGTTCAATAACCAAGAATAATGATTTAAGTTATTTTGTTGTGATTTAAAAATATATTATTCGGGGTACCCATATGACATTTTTAGAGTTTATTATTATATTTTATACACACTATGACTTTTAAAATGTAATTTTATTGACAAAAATGAATATGACCTGCTGTAGTATTAATGCTTAATATTAAAATAAATTACTTAAATCACAATAGCATCATCAAATATACTAAATTACTATGTTATATTACAGACTGACAGACCGTCCTCGCTCAGATATTATTTATTTTCATTATATAATAAATATAAAAGCCAAAAAAACACTGAACATTATTAAAGTTCTTTCAAGCACGAAATGGGGATCAGACTCTTTAGATTAGTTAAATAGTTAATTAGTTTTAACCCTAATTAACATTTACAATTAACTAATCAGATCAATTTTGGACTACAGATTCCCTTTATATATGACATCGAGAAACTGGCAATGCTTGACGTTATCTATAATGCTGGCCTAAGAATGGCATCCGGTGCATTTAGAAGTAGTCCCATAAACAGCATACTCAATATTATTGGAGAACAACTACTTAGTAGTCGGAGAAATCAACTGATGTTACAATACGCAGTGAGAACAGAAACCAAACTGAACGAACCAACGTATACATAGTATTCAATAACAGATTCGAAAATACTATCAACAATAACAAAATTAATAAAACCTATGTAAAAAAAATAAAAGTAAAATAGTGAGAACTAAAATTAGAAATAAATAATATAAAGACTTGAGAAGTATTTGTTAAACCTCCATAGACAACGACAAAATACTCGTTTGAAATGTGAGATTTACAACAAAAAAGAAACCACAAATCATACATACAATAATGCATTCTATGAAATAATTACCAGATCATATACATATATATATACAGACAAAGGGGTAGGTGTTGCTGCAGCTATCCAAAAAACCGAGCTTTCTGAGAGGTTGTCGGATAATTGTAGCAAATATACAGCTGAGGCACTAGCTATATATAAAGCCCTATCTTATATAATACGTGCCAACTTGTATAATAATAAGTACATAATCTTAACAGACTCCATGAGCACTTTATCTAGTCTAGGTAATATTAATATCGATAATGTTATAATTAATAAAATAATCAACTTGACTAATAAAATTAACAATAATTTAATATTCTCATGGATTCCCGGGAATTACGGAATAACTGCTAATGAAAAAGCAGACATACTTGCCAAGGAAAAAGCCAATAACCCACATCAACTAACCCTATGGAATATTATAATCTGACAAAGGTATAAAAAAAATTATCCACAACCAAATCAAAAATAAATGGCAAGACGAATGGCTAAAAATGATCACTAAATTATATGAAATAAAAAGAACAATAGAAAAATGGAATAACCCAATGTCTCTCAAATGAAAAGACGAAGTTGTATTAAATCGTCTCAGAATAAGTCATAAACCAAACACACGGCCACCTAATGAATAAATAACCTAACCAAAAACATGCCTTACATGCGGATATACAACTTCTATCAAACATATGCCTTACCGAATGTAGAGACACAAAAGAGGCCCGACAAAAATACAACATACCGGCGCATAGGCCCCGACGAAGAATCCATCAAAAATATAATTTTATTTATGAAAGACATTGAACTGTACAATTTAATTTAAATTATTTAAGAACATACAATCGTTAAAAAAAAACAATGGTCACGCTATCGAGGCTTTTTCTTTAACAATAAAAAAAAAATAAAATAAAAAAAAAATATATAAAATATTTTCTCGTTCCAGATATTAATAAAAGGTAAGTACATATACGATAACAGATGCAATTAATACAAACTAATGTGGAAATTATATCAAATAGAAAATACCAAGTTTGGTACACTTTTTAACTAAAACAAATTATTATAATAATATAAACAATATACAATTTTACTATGGATAATCAAAAATAAAACAAAATTTTTAAATAATTTTATTCAAACTTTTAGAACATTATAAATAGTCTTCAATTATTTTCGAAAGCAGGGTTGTCATTTGATTTGATTTCTTCAACAGTACATGTTTTCTTGTCTTCCTGGTTATTTATATGATACATCCACCTGTAAATATTAATTTGATATTGTTATATAAAGCTTATTCTTTGTGTGTTTACAAAGATAGGAATATTAGGTTACGAGACATTTGAAAGATTAATAATTAACTATAATTAACTATTTAAAGTTTACCACACCAAAATTTACATGTTTTCATAAATCTTACATAGTCATGGTACCTACATCATTCAAAAAACGTAGCACGCTACTTGATATTTTTCCTCTGTAAGGAAATTCTACGAATCATAAATATGGTTTTGGGGGGAGGGTTACCATGGCAATAGCAATAAATTTTAAAACTGTTACAAAAATAGGTAAGAAAAAAAAGTTGTTGCCAAACCAAAAACATATTAATGTTAAAAAAAATCAAACCTCGGATGTATAATATTTTATGATATGACTATATTTGACTTAATTATTATAATTTAAAACCATAATAATTATATAATGGAAAATTATATAAAAAATATCCCAGGAATTTTACTATTTATAATCCAAAGAAGTTTTTTTTTCATATAAATGTAAATACAGTTTTCACAGATTCATTATTTTATTTACTAATTTATTCAGTGAATAAGTCGGGAGAAAAGTATGTACTGGAAATGGGAGTTACATGAATGAGAAAGCATGGGGGCATTATATTTTATACTTAGCTTGGATTCAAAATGTTTTCTAGAGTGATAAAGAAAATATATATGCTAAATAAATATTATGTAAGTTTAAAGTGAATAGCTATATAAATCATTTATGAGTAGGTAGACTATGGTGGTTTTTTAGTCTAGAAAGAACTTAATAAATTTACTCGTTGTAAAAAGTGTAGCATCATGATTCATCCTCTATTGATTTAATGCCAAGGCAATTTTGAAGGACGCATGAGTAGAATGGGGAAAGGGGACTATTGCTCCCCAGAATTCTGTTAAGCCCCCTCGGAATTCACAAGAAGTTCAAGCAGGGTTGTCGATCCTATGAGGAAAAAAAAGGCTGTAGTCCCTTCATATAAATTCATCACCTTTGGTGAAGAGATGATTTAGGGACAACCGGTGGAGTGTTTGTAATTTTGCTTCTTTACTCCCTAGTGTGTTGTAAAGTATTGGCATATACATTTAACATTTTAGTTTTTAGGCTTGTTAATTTTTTTCTTATCTCTGTGAAATTAGTATATTGCGCTATGTCGCTATGTTAGGCTTTTTAGCCAAATTGAGAAGGATGTATTAAGCTGCTATACGATAGGTCAAGTTATTCGTAAGCTGATTTGTGAGATGGGATAAGATCGCACTGATATATTGCTGTAGCTCTACGTTTTCCTATAATTGAGATATGGAATTTTATCAGAAACCATAGGAAAATGATAATACGAGTTGAAGGTTTTTCTGGACATAACAGCCACTAATTTAAATGGAATAATATTATTTTTTTTATGGATTTGCTATTTAGTAATTACTTTGTTTGTCATTTAAAGCCTAGGATTATATATTCCTGATCACAAAAGCAGTCTATGCATTTAACACTAATTATTTTTTAATGAGTCGTAAAGAATTTTCATTATTTACATATACAGAGTATTTCTACGGTGAATATTATCAATAGGATAAATATACTCAGTGAAGTGACCGAAAAATATAGACCGTATACTACTAGATAAGAAGTGTGTATAACAATAGTATTATGACAACATCTCGCAGTGATGTAGGCTATCTCTACGAAAAAATACAATAATCTATACATATATACAATATCTTACCCTGTTACCCCGCACTACCGATCTTACGAGTAATAAAGTAATCACAAAGCACCCTCTGTGTTGTCACGCTCACCATACCCCATTGCTTGACGAAGAAGTGTAAGATTTATGCCGAATAAACCCAAGTTTCAATTTTTCTTTTCATCTCCAAGAAGTATATGGTTATTCTTTTATTATTTTGTATTAATACCTAAACGTATTTGTTTTTGGACCAATTCACTGATTATGTTTACTATAATTAACAATTATCCTATTTATGTAATACTTCGTATAATTATTTTGTATCTATGTAATAAATTAATAGATGATTTTTGATTATTTGTAGTTACCAATATACAAATATGGCTGGTGTGAGCATTATTGAACTAATGACGTAAAATGTTCCTGGAAACGTGGTCAGAGTCGCTCTGTATATTGCACTGTATAGAGGTTTATATACAACAGGCACTATTGTTTCAATGACTGCCATTATCGCTGACACTTGACCTGGAAATTAATGAGTTATTGAGATTGCTTTCAATATATTTTAAATACAAAATTAAAATTATTTATTTACCAAGTTCAGCATGAGGTACGATCTTTGACAGAATCGATCTCATTACGATATATGTAGTACCGCTCATTACGTCAACCACGGCACCTGTAAACAAAATATAACATCGCTTGAAAAAAAAAACCAAAGTAAAATAGGTACTCGATATCATTACAAAATGCGTAATGGCCCAAACATGTATTAGCTATACTACAGAAGTTCTTAAACTTTTATTTTTGTGTACCACTCATATTATGTATTACAAATCAGTAATATACCACTTATTAGGTAATAAGTACTAAATGTAGGACTATTTAACATATTTTCAATTTTCGATACATTTGTAACAATAATATAATGTATGCAAATAGTAATTTAGTACGTTTAACAGTATTCAGTATTTATTAACACAGAACATAGCATTTGAGAACCACTGAGGTGTAATACACTCATCGTTATATAAGTGTATAAATAAAAACTATACAATAGTTACCGAAGCACAATAGTATTTGGTAGGTATCTAAAGCGCGGTTGCATACAGTGTACCTTTTTGGGAACACGATTACGCCTCCAGTCATCGTTTGAGCATCATCTGCTTACCTGTGTCAAAATAGCATATACCGTTTGTGCATCAAAATTATATTGAACCATAGAAAGGTATAACAAATAGGGAAAAGTGCATACGCGTTGTAAATCATAAAATAATATATCAAAATAATTTTTAATACCTAGTTCTGATTGAATTTGAAAATGCAACAATTGCATAACTCAAGTAGTACAATATAGGTATATTAAAAAAAATGAAAATACATTTTAATGAATAATAGACAATAGCCATAAAATGATAATAAATATAGATATTTAGTACCTACATAGGTATTAGTGCTAGGGCTCGGGACTTCTAGGAGTTCGCATGTTTTTAAAAATCATTAAAAACATAACTAAGTAATATAGAAATTTGTTTCATAGCAATACAAGTTTATGTTTAAAATTTATAGTTGCATATTTTGCATATTCGACCATACTTCATTTATAAGTGCATATTTGACCATTTTTCATTTTATTGGTGCATATTTGACAATGTTATTCATACAAGGAGTAAGTTTTTTAATTTTATAAAAAAAAGTTAATTTTAAATAGATTTCCTGGACCGGATATAAATATTAAAAAATGACTGTTGCGTTTTCCTTGCTTATCACTATAATTGTATTGTTACTTATCGGTATACCACACTCGTGATTCTCGATGGGCAATAAGCCGACAATGGTACCAGAAAAACTTTTTATAAACTATGACTAGTTGTAGATAGCGGCCAGGCGGTCCCGTGAATAGTAAAAGTTGACAGTTGGTGTTGTGCGTTCTTCGTATTTCTAAGTGTTTTTTTTCTTTCGAGTGAGCCCATAAAAAAATAATTAAAAAATGCCTAGACCTAAACCAAAACGTTATGATCGGCTTAACGATTTTGTAAAAGAATTAAATATTTTTTAAATGTATATTTTAATAGCATATTTATTGATTCTTTAGGGCATAAATGCATACATATTTTAAGGTTTTTAAGGGCATGAACTCTCTAGCCTTAGGTATTACAATAAAAACCTATGGATTGGTCGTGGTTACGAGTCACACTTACACTTCAATTTTTATACGACGTTATACCTACGTAAATGCGTTATAAACCATAATATCCCTACAATATATTCGTTTATACTTTTAAACAGAAATACCCACTCGATATATTTTGTAAATTGAATATTTCAAGCTCAGATTTTAATATGAAAGGTAATTTAACAACTTGTGACTTTCAACACTCTTAATCACTTCCAATTATGTTGTTAAACATATGTTGATGACAAAATGATATATAATAATTTAGTAATGACGAGAAAACAATGCAGAACCTAATAATGAAACGATGCACAACTATCTTACAAGAATGGTCGAAATTAACAACAGTATTGATATAAGATACCACAAACCCCAGAAAACTCTTAAAACTAATATCCCAGATTTTCATTTAATTCCAAACTTTCTTTTTATAAACAAATTATAAAGAAAGATAAACTATACGTATACTGTTACAAATACTATTATAATCATTCTAACCCACTTATAAAGTAATATCTATCTTTCTTCCACCGATTTCCCCGACAAACCAACTAATCGGCTTAAGCATAAATGGCCAAAGAGATTTTGAATAATTAAAACAATATTTCCCTGACAAAAAAATAAATCCTAAAAAATATAAAATAGTGTCAATAGACACGCCTCAAATTTATTCACTCTGACTTAACCAAATTATACGTTTTGTAATTAATGTTTTGTAATTAATTAATTTACATGTTGTAAATATCATCTTTCTTTGTACAAAAAGTATATTATACATCAATAATATTAATATATTTATTATTTTAAAAATAAAATTCATGCTCACCAATATAAAAATATAATTCTGAAGGTGCAAATGCAAATACCAACCCAGCCAATACTTTGCTGATGCAAGCGATTACTCCAATGAGTGCGTCGTCTAGTTTTAATAAGTGGCTTAAAACTCCTATTGAGAATCCAACACCTAAAAAAATTAATACACACTATATAAATTTATTATTTCCTTTAAATACGAATAACTGTCCTTACCTACAATGTTTGTCATAAATAAGAACGTCGAGAATAAACTGTAGTCCAATTCATTCCAATTGAAACGGACTCGAGTGTAAAAGTAAGCAATTCCAGATTCTCCTGAAATAATTGTTTTTTGAGTTGTTTGACGTTAGTTAATGGTGAAGCAAAACGGTTTCTTATTAATAAGTCTCCTCCTACTCAAATTCCCTCATTCAACTTATCCAAAATCCCTCTCTACCAAAAACTCTAGGAAACCCTCCAAGACAATTTAAGCGAAACTGGTGTAGTGATCTTTTTAACTAATTCATCTAACAAAAATAAATAAAATTAAATGTTTGAAATTTATTAAACAAAATAGTTTTGTTGTGTTACTAGAGATGAGTGGCTAATTTTTCAATACTGATCATGTTTTTATGACTGTTATCATATGCGTATTGTGTTTTGAGGTACAGATTGTGTATATTTTGAAAAAATATTTTTTCAAAGAAATTTCTTGCTTAACTATAATAATATTAACGCTAAACAGTCGGACATCGTAACTCTGAGCAGTGAGCAGCTAGCATAATAATATAAAACATATTTTTAATACACACCATGTGAAGGCCCTTGGATTACAACTATTGTGAACATCAGCATAATGATTTTTGTCCATCTTCTTCGTGGGCCTTTTTTGAACGTTGCGTGAAATGCTTCTTTGATATGTTTCAGATTGAAAAAATCGACCACGAGATACATGAAAGATTTGGACCTCTGCGTGGGATTTTTTAGTTCCAACGATCCAGGATGTTCTTTGATGTTGACTGAGCCATAGATAAATGCTATCACGTACAACGCTGTAGAAATATAGTACACTCCAAAGAATCCTAGTTTTTGATACAAAACACCGGAAAGTGCCGCACCGACTGGCCAAGCCACACCGAAGAATAAATTCATCAAACCTACCCTGAGAGTTCGGTTTTTCATCTGAAAATATAAATAATCTTTATTGTGTACATTTATTACACTTATAATTAGCACTCGGATTTATATGTATTGAATAAAGGTATCTATTTCTGAATACAATATACAAACAACATTTTTATTAAATATTCTGTGGAAATTCTAATTTGATAAACAAAATGTATTTTGTTATCTTTTAAAAAATGGGCCCATGATATAATATCGGCTATAATATCGTAAAGGTAGTATTAAGTATTTTTTCACAATTATTGATTATTATGAAGACAAATAATGTGATTGATAATCTACCAATGTATATAGGCAGTCTGTTATAATATAGTATACAATTTAAGGATTTGACTTTGAGATGAGTTTGAATATTGAAAACTTCAGTGGTTAAAAATACAGACATACATTTTGAAGAACTTTTTTATTACCTTAACACATTTTTAAAGTTGAAATAACTGTACAGGAAGCCCTAACAAACATTTTAACGTTAAAAATGTTTGTGTTAACTATTAGGTGAAAACAAATTCTAAAAATGTAACCAAATCAAATTATCGTGTATAACAAAATAATCTTGGATTCAACAATCGTAGATGCAAAGGAATAGGTTCTTTGTGCTCTGTGCAGGTCAATGCTTTGTGTAAGTAAAAAGTGAAATTATTAGTTTTATTAAAAAACAAACAAGAGGGTTTTACTCACGGAGCTTATGTCTCCCATGTAAGAAAATGCGGCCAGATACAGAACGGTAAGTCCACCAGCCATGGACGTGGGTATCGATTCCACTAGACCTGCCACCTCCATCCTCAGCTCGTCGAAATAGAACACGCAAAGTAACAAGCCGAAGTTCCTGACGATCTCACCTATAACTGGGACGAGCATACACGGTTTGCGTTTCCTGTTTCGATCGCTCCACGACCCGATGAATATGACCAGTATACACGGTATGCTGCTTTGGATCATCGTTTGCCATATGAGCATGTCCGCGACCAGCTGCTGCACTTGGACTTCTTGATGGGCGTAGAACGACATGTTTTTGTTTTCTAATCCGTGACAGACGTCATCGTCCATCCGTAGGTTTACCCTACACGCCTTTTGCAGGTTGAGGTTCTGTGTGGTCAAACTCGATAACACGGATGACACCTGAAAAAACGCCAGCAGCGGTTCCACGGTGATGTTTCGGCAGACATATTTCACTTTGGAACCGAACCCCATTCCTCGCCAACTGTTACCGTCTTCGTCTTCCGGAGTGAAACTTTTTACTTGTTCGTTCGTTTCCATTGTACCGTAGGATTTTTCCACAGCTCTAGAAAATCTACGAAAAAAATAATTTTGATTTGTATTCTATACACTGTTATTTTCTTAAGTACCTATATGAATTACGAATATTGGAGATTGGAATATTCATGCTTATTTTGTTTCCTAACCAATCAATCAATTTTATAAACTATTTATTTATTTTGTACAAATAATTTATTTATAAACACAATTTTTATATTACAAAATAGTGTCAAAATAGCATATACATGTGGATAATATAAATGTTTAATAAATATTGTTTTTTATTTTAAATTTTTCTTAATATAAAACTATTATAGCTCAACAAAATATTATGATAAGAGAAAAATGAGCGGTTTGCAAGAATTCAAATATATGAACAAACTATGAATATTAATGAAATAGTATACAGGTAATATAATATAAATTTGAGAGTTATTAAATTCTAGGATATAGGATATAGATATAGGCTGGACCGGACTGGGTCAAAAATTTCTACCGGGAAAATAAAAAAATCGGCCCACTTAGTTATAAATATAAAAAACGTATATTTTCATATAAAATGATTGTATATTATTTTGAGAATTGAACACTTCATATTATTATAAAAAATTAAAAAAAAATAAAAATTGGTTTGTACAAAGAAATGTTATCATTTTTATTTAAAATACATATGTTTAGACTCCAGAATACACATTAATACATATTAAGCAATTTATTAAGGTTTGAGCTCTAATTTTAAGCGAAATCGTGTCGATTAAGATTTCGACGCCATTGGAATAGGTGGGAGTTCGTGTGATGATAGTAAATTGTAGCACATTTTAAGCGGTGTAGACGTGCGTTACGATTAGGTGGGGATTACTGATTAACGAAGACAATAATATGATACAAGCATCTATTTTTGACAATTTATACATTTTGTCATATCTATTTTAAAAAATTACCTTAATATTTTGCCCTACACCGGCAACACCCATGTCACACTGGACAGTTTTCTAATACAATCGCATTAGAAAATGCGTCTAAAACGTCTGTCGACAGGATGAGCTTTAACCCATAAACCTGAAAAAAAACGTCTCTACGGGTACAAGCGTTCCACCGGAAAACTCCCTGTATCCCGCCTGCCCAGTCCGACCCTGAGTATTGGTTTTATTCATAGGCATGGGGAATTCAATGAGAGTTTATTTATAAGGATCGTGAGAAGAGAAAGTAGAGGGTTTAATAAGGTTTTGATTTCGACAAGGAAGCTGGATATTATATCGGAATTATTGTTCGACGGTTGAGTTGCGGTTATGTCAGCATAATGCTGCAATATGCATGGCACCGAACTATACGAGTTGTATTTAACCACCCACCCACCCACACTAACTTCCTATACATCTAAATTTAGAAATGAAGTGATCGCTTCATATGGTATATGAGTTCGGTAGTACTAGCCAATATAATTTATTTGTTAGTTAATTTTAATTAAAAATTATATTATTATACTAGCTCATCCCGTGCACTTTGTTGCCTGTTAAAAATTCCAGCTCTATATGAGACTCGATGATGATAAAGCGAGCAGTTTGTAATGCCTACCTGCCGTGGATTAAGGACCTCACTCGAAGAGTACTTTATATAAATATGTTTTATTTTTATTTTGATTGTGGACACGCCGGTGGAGCCTCTTTAAGTACAACTCAGCCACCTTGGTAGACAATGTACGAGAATTCAATTGTATGCATGCTTATACACCTGATCTGCCCGATGAACTAATACAGGCAACCAATAAAGTATAAACCAAAAAAATACCAATTTATACTAAATATATTTATATTTCTCCTATAACCAAAAGCAACCGTATACAAACAAATATTTTCTTCGTAGGTAAATCTTAAAATCCCTGTTTGAGCAACTCCCCGGGTCGGACATATCGGGTCCAATTGTGAATCTAAACCATCCAGTGCGTCACTCAAACGCATACAAGAAAATCATTAAAATCGGTCCAGCCGTATAGGAGGAGTTCAGTGACATACACACTTACAGTAGAACTATATATATAAAGATAGTATTTTAATATTATACGTTTGTTTTTTCAGTTAAGTATTTTGTTAGAGTTTTTTTTTAGCAGGTATAATTGACAGGAGGTACAGTTTTCTAGAGATATTCTTTCCGAAGATATTTTGACCAATAACCGAATCCTTAGGTTTGATCGAATTGTACGCCACACAGTAAGTCTTGCATACTTTTACATATAAAGCCATGTAGGTGTATTCATTACTACTATTGTGTATATAACTGCCGGTTGGTTATTATTTTGACTTTAGCATCTTACTCATTATCAACTTGTTAAAAAATACACACATTGTTGATGTGTGATTTATTTATATAATACTCTGCATAAGAATCATTATTTACCGAGAAGTAAAAATGTTATACGATTGCATCTTAAGTTTTATCTACAATAGGTTATAACGCCGTTACTGATAATTTGTTCACGTCATGTAAAACGCACATGATGATCGATATTCGATGATTATTATTTTAGTATACTTATATAATGTGTTACCAATGGAATGTTTGATTATTGCGATATTTTTTCTGAGATGTATTTCAAGTGGCATACATTCACAATACTATTTCATCTATTCTTATGAAAAATATAGTTGTCGTAACAAACGCATTTCCACGTTTATAAATCTATACACGTGCAATTTAGTGTGCATCAAATAAATTATTTATTATAAGACATTTCACTTTTATAGTAAGTATGGTTAATGTTAATTTAACAGGCCAAGAATCACATGAAAAACTATTTTAATCAAATTCAATCAGTTAGATATAAATCAAATTAATTGTTGCAAATATTTTTTACCTAGATTAATTTAAGAATCGATTTATGTGCACAAATTAAACAACCAAATTAATTTATCACACATAGATATGTTATTAGAGCACATGAACCGAATTATTAGGCATTACATAATTTTATACAATGCACTGCCAATAAGTTATCATAAACATTCGTCGTACTTGTTAAAATAAATCATATGATTTGATTAAATTCGAAACCTAGTACCTGCGAAACAGTAAGGTACATAAAATTATTTATACTTGTTTTTTTAGTTATCTAATTACCTATATGATTATATGCTTATTAAGATTAACTATTTCAAATTAGGCTTCAGTATTATCTTATTTTATGATAAAAACACAACAAATTAATATGGTTCGTAACTACCTACCTACAAACTAAATCAGTAAGTTCTTAACACAATATTGACATTTGATGAAAGTCATTGATTTTTAATTTGTCTAACTTTTTATCCGTCCTTACAAGAAAATTTACTTCCAAATTCCTTGTTTAGGATACATTTCAAACAAAAATAATTTATTTACATTTACCGGGTAAATTCAAAAAATAAATATTGATGAATAACTAGTTACCAGTAATATGCACTTGAGTATTTAAATTGTAACTTATTACCTGTGAAATAGCCCGGTTGTGATTTTTAGTCACTGAAGTATTTTTCCGATTACGGATCATGAAGACGTGTAACGAGTGTACTCACTGCTGCAACTACTTTAACATACTGTATTGTACGATCGAATAAAATCATATTTTATATTAATATAAATTACTTGGACCTATTTGTTCGGTTGTTTTCCCACCACACTCGCCGAATAAAATTTCGAACAGATAAAACCATTCCATGTATATGAGATGTCAAAAAACATTTTGTTTAGTCATACAGTCGTATGCAATCAATGTTGAATAGTATTGTTATCACCTCCAACGATAATTAGGAATAATTATAATCAAATGATAAAATAACCTTGTATTAACATTTATTTAAAAATAATTGGACAACACAGTAAAAACAGTAATTAAAATATATTATACTATTTATAATTTATGATATTTGTATATGGACTAGTATAGTACCTACCTACATATAACATATTTTATGATTTTAACATTTAGCCAATTTAACATAATAAAAATTATGTTATTCTTAGTTTTTTACCCAATAAACTACAATAACTTACAAATTGAGTATTATTATTCTTACATTACCAAAATAATGATAGTTATGTTAAGGTGATAACAAAAATTATGAGCATGATTATTTTAATAGTTTACAAATGGCAAGGTAAAAAGTTTAAAATGGTTATTACCTACTGTTTTATTATTAATTTCATGAAACAAGATGCAAAACAATATTTTTTTCGGAACAATATGGTTATTAGTAAAGATAATAATTATTATAAAATAAATTAAAGATTTTGAAATTAGTTCAACCAATACTTGGCCAATAGTGACTTTTTATATAATATTATAGACGTATTTAATATGGGTAACTAAAAACTTGGACAAAATACATTCCTAGGTCCTAGTCACTTAGGGACAATACATCATCGTAGGGTTCTAGTCTTTTAAATATTAAAGCAATTTTATTAAATCATTGAATTTGGAAAACTATTATTAAGATTACTTAAGTAGGTATTACCTAAGATTAGGTTAGACCTGGGCTTATCAAGGGAGTTTGGTATAGGCAATTTCAATGTACCTAATGTTGAGAAAAAAAACAACATAAATTAAATACTAAGATTAAAAGTAACTCATAAATGGTTTAAAATGAAAAAATCGTGAAGTCAAACAGGTTTAACCGTGTTAACATTGATACAAAACCAAACTGTTTCCACAAAACTAGGAGAAATCGGAATATCTTATTTTGTTTTTATTTTCTTGATGTCACTTATACACAAAAAGAGTTATTTTTATTTTGATAATTTTAAAATTTGAACAACATGGCTATTAAACTTTTTGATAATATAGATTTAGGTCATAGGATATAGATCAGGTGGTAACATTTTTTTAAGCTTGTATGAAAAATATTATGATGCTTACATTTAAAATTAAAATATTATACATGTATTTAGGTATTAGATGGTATATGTTATTAAAAATTCGTTTATAAATAAAACAAAATATTTTGTGGTTTAATTAATATTTTATTTAAATGATTGAAATTATTATTGTATAGTCATTTTATTGTACATAATATATAATAAAAAATATTTTTATCTCGACTCTCCACAATAGCTGTATAAATTAACAGTTTAATAATTATCATATAAAACACTAATCAATGAATAATTATAACTATCAATTTAACTTAAGATAAAATGTAAAATAATATAACAGTCGTACAATTAATTAAAAATTAAAAAAAATACATACAAATTAATTTAGTTCTTACTTTAATAAAATAACTCTAATTGCATGATTCACTGTTTGTACATTAGTCGGATATATATCCTGAGTTTTCATAATTATTTTTTTCTGACGTCTCGTATAGTTTAGGAATTTTGATTGTATCGTTTGTCAGTTCAGAATTGTTCTGTATTTTTTCAGATTTTTTATTTTCTATTTCACGCGCCTCTCGTTCTTTATTTCCTTTATATATCCACCTAAAACGAAAAAAATTATAAGTTATGAAGTATTAATTTACCATTTGTATTTTGATATGACATAACACAATGGTAAGTAATTCATTATATATGCATTTCATAATATGTGGGTACCTATTTTTCATTGTTTTAAACTATAATTTGTCAGTTAGAATTTAAAAATTAGAATATTGTTTGAATGAAGCCGTTTAAAAAAAATGGCTGTACAGTAGATGTGGAGTGTGTGACTTTAATGGTTGTGTTCAATTTGAATTCAATGATAAATCATTGCATATGAAAAAGATTCTGAGCAAAGACTCAAAGGTCGGTTGGCTTAATAATATGTTACCTACTAAGTATATTCTATGATATTATTGCTATTAAAGTAATTTATCTTACAATATTAGTAATACAGTAGGTTAAATACATTTTTGCCAAAAACATTGCTTTTTAAAATGTCATTGCGTGTATACAATTTAATAATATACTTTATAAGTTTCAAGTACCCAAGAATGATATTTGTAAATTACAACTAAATAAATAATATCATTATTCTTTGTCCAAAATTGGACTCATTTTCTATGAAAAAAATTTTATATATACATTTTTTTGGATTTATTGGTTCCATCAACTACTGTAACTAGGTACTTACAAGTTACCAAACCTAAGAATTAAATTTTCAAGTATTTTGATGGCTCCAATATTTTTTTTGGCTACCAATAAAAAAGCTTAAAAATAATTTTGGAATTTCTAATTCAACTATTTTATAATATTTAATCAATTATAAATTTCTTTAACATCCCAAAATATAAGTACATTTTATAGTTGTTGCTTTGTCGGCTTTAATACTTACAAAAATATAAAAACCGCTGGTATAGTTAATCCTCCACCGAGGAGGAAGTAAGCTCCTGGGAACGTTTTCATTGTTGCTTTGTAAAATGCACTGTACATTGGTACATATATCATTGGAACAAAAGCCTCAAAAACTCCTACTACAGCACTTACTTGACCTAAACTAATAAATTATTATCATAATTAGTTTAAAATTATATTAAACCTAATAGTTTAAAAATTACCAAGTTCGTCTGGAGTGACAAGTTTAGTGAATATAGATCTAGTTGCAATAGAACCAGCACCATGAATAATTTCCACAACTGGGCCTAAAGAAATTAAATTATTTTGCATATTCAAATTTCAAAAAATTTATGATTATAAATAATGTACTTACCCAAATAAAATATGTATGTATTGGGTGCAAACGCGAAAACAAAACTACCAATAACTTTACTGATACATGCCATTGTAGCGATCAATGCGTCATCCATTTTCAATTTGTGACTGAAAACCCATAACGAAATTGATGTCCCTGAAATAAATGTTGGATAATGTATTTTATATTAAATTTATATTTGAAATTTACTTTTAGCAATAGTTAGTTACTTACCAATAAAGCCAGTTACCATCGTAAATGTGGAAAACATACTGTAATCGACTTCGTCCCAGTTAAATCGTATTCTTGTCGACAAGTACATAACTGACATTTCACCTAAAATGTGTGATTATTATAGTATTTTTAGATATAATAAAATGTATGATATGTCTCATATAATGTAACATATTACATAAACGTTCAAATATAGTTTACTAACCTGTCATGGGACCCATAATTATCATAAGAACTACCATCATCATCAAAATCCGGAGCCTTCTGTTGTCATTACCTTTTTTGAAAGTCACACCAAATGCATTTTTGATGTGTATCAAATCAAAAAATTCTTTGACATTTGTCGAGAATGACGGATTTTTAACTAATTTATTGTTTTCACAAACGGCATGTGTTTCATTGCTTTTTATGTCTTTAAGATAAAAAAATCCATAAAGTATACCCAAGAAGTATAAAGTAGAACATATTGAATATATTCCGTAAAAACCTAGCTTTTGGTACAGAATACCAGACAAAGCTATACCGAAAGATATCCCTATGGTTAAAGATAGGTTTAGCACTCCTATCCTAAGAGTTCTCATTTTCACCTGAAACAATAATTTCAATATATTACGTGTAGGTATTTATTTGGAATCAGACGAGTATTGAAAAATATCAAAAACTGTGTACCAACCGTGGTTACGTCCGAAATGTACGTGAACACACCCATGAACATGATCATCCAACCACCCGTTAGTGACCCGGGCACGGATTCGACCAGCCCGGCGATTTCCATTGGTAGTTCGTAAAAATAGAATACACAAACCAACAGACCTAGGACCCGCACGAGTTCCCCAAAAATGGGCAACAACAGGACCGGTTTCCTCTTGCGGGTCCTGTCACTCCAGGATCCGATGAAAATTACGAATATACACGGTATGGTGTGCTGTATAACCGACTGCCACATTGTCATGTCGGTGACCAGCTCCTGGACTTTTGCCTCCTGGTCAAGTGTATAGTTGGACTTATTGCGTTGTTCCAACGCAGTGCAAATTGCGTCGCTCATGTTTAAATTGACCCTGCATGATTTCTGTAAGTTCAGATTTTGCGTGGTGAGGTTGCCGAGTACACTTGACACGATGAAAAATGCGAGCAAAGGCTCCACCGTAATGTTGTTAATCATGTATTTGAATTTCGAGCTGAAATTCAATTTTTGCCATTTTTCGTGCTCCGCGTCCACTTCTTCGGCCATGTTGGTATCGTCGTTTGTAGATTTCTTAGAGAGCTTCATTATTGTTTTGTTTTTATTTTACCTCATTTCAGAACGAACATTATTTAATACCTATAAAATAAAATTCACCATAGTATCAAACATAATAATTTTTATCATACTACAAAATTATCTTAAAAAAAGCGGGTAATGGATGTCGCTCTGCTGTACATTAGGTGTCTAGGAGGTCACTGTAATGGATGGTATTAAATTTGAATTCAATGATATCATATCATTGCATACCGAAAAAAATTCTGAGCGGAGACGGTATATCAGTCTAGGATATTTTATATTGTTATTACTTATTATTAATATAATAATATGGTAACCGGTAAGTTCAATTAATATTATTCTTAAATTATCAGTGATGCTGGAAAAATGCTTACACAAATATTCAGTGAAAATGTCATGTATCTAGGGTCATTTTTGTTAGAGTTACACTCAAAACCAAAATTTGTCTATTCTGTGTTTGACTTAGACTAGAAGTCGGTAATAAATCAATGTTGAAAGTTAATCATAAATTGTTTAAAATGTTGAATGATAATGATGTTTCAACTGAAATTTATGTAAAACTAGTAAGTCTTAT